TGTTCATGTGTTGTCTCAATTCATGGGGGAGCCGCGGCAAGAACACTGGGACGGTGCGACTCACGTTCTACGGTACATCAAGGCCTGTCCCGGGCAGGGTTTGTTTCTTCCAGTACAAAGTGATCTTACTCTTAAAGCTTTCTGTGACTCTGATTGGGCTGGGTGTCCCTTGACTCGGCGTTCTGTTACTGGATATTTTATCACTCTTGGCGATTCCCCGGTATCGTGGCGTACAAAGAAACAAAGTGTAGTTTCCCGTTCTTCGGCTGAAGCCGAATACAGGGCCATGGCAACTACTGTTTGTGAACTCAAATGGCTGAAATCCCTTCTCTTCTCCCTTGGTGTGCGTCACAAACAGCCCATGCGGTTGTTTTGTGATAATCAGGCTGCTCTTCATATTGCCGCTAATCCGGTCTTCCATGAACGTACAAAACACATTGAGATTGATTGCCACTTTGTACGTGACGAAGTCCAACGAGGTGTTTTGTGTACTCGCCAAATCTCCACCAATGATCAACCGGCAGATCTCTTTACAAAGGCTTTGGCTTCCGCTCCGTTTTCTCATTTACTGTCCAAGCTGGGCATCCAGAATCTGCATGCTCCAGCTTGAGGGGGGGTATTGGAACTGAGAAGTCCGGATCCGGAGAAGTCCGGATCCGGAGAAGTCCGACTTCCGAGGAATCCGGATTCCGAGAGATCCGAATTCCGAGAGGTCCGAATTCCGAGAAATCCGAACTTGAGAAGTCCAAATCCTTTGATGACCGAATCCCATTCTAATTAGGATTGATCTTGATTTATTTGTTTCCTAGTTTGATTATGATTTGTTTCCTTGTAGGATTTGTATTCCTTGTCTATTTTGGAATCATCCTCTTCTATAAATAAAGGAGAAACCCCTTGTAACTAAACAGAACAATTGAATATACAGAATATTTTCCCTCTTATTATTTTCTACAGTTAATCAATTATGTCAATGATTAAGAGTTTGAATCATAGCTAAAACGATTCAAAGTTAAATCTTTCAAAGTCTTTTTTTAGTATATGTACTTCGATCCGTATTCGTATCGATATGTTTAATCAGTTCTAACATCATAATTTTCAAAGTTTTTTTATAAATAAAAAAATGTCCTTTGAATATTTATTCTTTTAACCCAGAGTGTTTTTAGACTAGTTTATGCTAGCTTCTAACAAAACACTATTATAGCATAGGTATTAGGTAGTGGATACCATAACATAATGGGGGAGGGGGCGTCTTTCCCAAGTCTCTACGAGGACTTGCTACACGGCCCCTAGTACTCTCTCCCCATTTCAAAAAGATTGTCACAGTTTAATTTTTTTGGTCAAACTATGACACTTTTGACTACGAATTAAATATAGTTTAAAATAATTAAATATTATAAAAATTTGTTATTTTAAAACTATGTTTGAAAATAAATCAAATTTTACTAAATTTACATTATAACTGAATATACTTTTTCCATAACTAACGGTAAAAGAATACCATAATTTGATTTAAAAAATTCAAACTGTGACAATTTTTTAGAGACGGAGTGAGTATTTGAATAGCGAGGACTTTAGATACTCGTTCCTACTGGCTACAAGTCTCCAACACCTTTTCTTTTTTGAATTTTTTTGTGAACCAATTATACTCAAACACCTGAAATTTATTTTGTTTTAATAAATAATAAGATCTATTTTGTTCTTTATTTAATGAAATGTATATCGGGTTTTCAATTCAAAAAAGGTAGTGCGTACTTGAATAGTTTGAGTAGGCGCTCCCTTTTGAATACTTTGGATAGTTTGAGTAGTTTTGAGCAATGTTCTCAAAACCGAACTGGACGTCGATCCGGACAAAACACTGGGTCAAGGGTTAACCGGTTGAACCGGGGTCAACTCGGGTCAACGACCCGGTCAAACTATAATTAAAAAGCTAATATTTTATATTATATCATTAGATATTTTTAGTTAAAAAAAATATTTAGCTTGTGTTTTTACTTCTCCATCTAGTTTTAATTCGATAACCCATATATTATTTCACAATTTCTATTTTTTTCAATTACTTTTATTATTATTAAAAATTGAGTGTCTAACACACACTTAAATTATAAGGTAATACTCTTTTTGTTTTTGAAAAATAAAGAATAGATAATATGTTTTTATTTACTAGTTACATTTTACAGAGTAAAATTTATATTTAGTTGATTAAAATGATTGAAAATATAAAAAGCGGCATATTAAATTATAATTAATAATTTAAAGATAAAGAATAATACATTAAGTATAGATTATTTATAGTTTTATTAAGATATAAAATAAATAATACTAATTATATATAAGTTTGAACTACTTAAAAAATTAACAATATAAATATATTATATAAACATAGTTCTTTTTTTTAAATAATTGGAAGTTTTTTTAAAATTTCTCTCTAAATAGTTTAAGAAGCTAATATATTCAACATTGCATGGCATTGTTAGCAAAAGCCGAGTAGCTCATTTGGTTAAGATCTCTCATGTGTAACTGTGGTGGCCAGGTTCGAATCCTGGAATGAGATTTTTTAATCAAATATAAGTTGGTCTAAACCCGGGAACCGGCTGGGCCAACCCGGGTCATCCGGTTCGCCGGTTCTTCCGGGCGGATCGGATTGGTGTCCGGTTCGCGGTCCAATCGGTTGGACCGGCCGGTCCGGTCCGGGGTAGGGGTGGACACGGTACGGTTCCGGAACCGGCGGTTCCAGTACCGCAACCCCATGTCACCGGAACCGTCACCGTGCCGGCCAGTACCGGACCGGCCGGTTTCGCCCCCCCTCCTTTTTTTTTTTTGCTTTTTTTAAAATTTTTAAAGTATAAAATTTTAAATTTGCAATTCTTTAAGGAAAGAATGAAATAAAAAAATCTAAAAATGTAGTTGTTATTTAAATATTTTAAATGAATAATACACTAACTAAAGAACAACCACATTTAATATCCTGACGGTTCAAAAAAAGCGACGAGGTAAAGAACCATAAAAAAACCCTCGAAGGAGTTTATATATCGCTCACCTAAAAAAACTAATTACATATCTACATTAACATAAAAAAATTATAACTTATTCTTCAGAACTCGGACTTCCATCTGTTGTTGCATTCATGTAATGCTCTGATTCGAGTAGGTACGATGACTCTTGAGCTCGACGTCTTGCCAAGAGCCAATCTTGGTTGCAAACCAGTGTTTCAAAAGATTCAGCGCTAAGACAACTTCGAAAGTCGGTTAGAATGTTGCCGCCAGCACTGAATTCTCGTTCAACTGTTACGGTTGATACCGGAACGGATAACACTTGTCCGCTTCCACCATCCGAGCACATCAAAATCCACGTCGTCGTCGTCCTAATCGCATGGCACACCCTGGTACATAGCAAGTTCGTTGTGGGAGCTTACTGTTGTACCACTTGAACTCGTCGAAGAATGAGCACGCTTCCCTTTTCCGGACCGCCATAACCGCCGGAAACTCCCATTTTTATGACGGTCCCACAATGTTTACAAGTTCCATAAACTACGCCATCTTTTGTTTCTTTGTCAAAATGATAAACAAATAAATCTGATTTATATTTTTTTTACCTTTGTCCGGACCTCGTGAGGTCTCGGGCTCACCTGCCTCCACGTCGACGTCGTTGCTCTGCGGTGTAGGCTCCTCGTCCCCGTCTAGATTATCCAGTCCTGCTTCATCAAGATCTTCGAATACACTATCAAGAGTGGGGAGATTTGCGTCCCCTCTACCAGAATAAATCTCGTCGAATTCTTCATTCGTCATAGCGTCCCCGATTAAGTGATCGGGGATAGTAGGAAAGGAAGAGACGGAGTGTCTTCCTTGAGAATCGCATGAGGTCGAACCGTCGGAGGTGGCTTTAGCTTTGCCTCTCCTCAAACTTCGGTTCACGGCGCCCATATCCACGGACCTTCTACCGAACTCTCTCGACATTTTAATATATGTATTTTTTGATAATAAATAAATATATTACTTTTGGAAAAAATTAAAAAAATTTCGAAATTTTATATATTAAAATTTCGAAAATTTCAATAAATAATAGAGAATATATTTAAAATATAAGTTATATATTTTTTGATATTAAAGATATATTTAATTTCGAAAATTTCAAATAATTTCGAAATTTTATATATTAAAATATAATATATTTAAAAAAGATATATAAGAATTAAGAAATTAAGAATGATTGATAAGAATTAAGAAATTAAGAATGATAGATTGAGATTTGAGAGAGTAAGAGATGGATTGAGTAATTGAAATTTTGATTGTGAATGTGTGATATTTTTTGAAAAAAAAGGAGTATATATACTAATTTTTTAGCCCTCCTCCCCTCCCCATCCCCAATCCCCATCCCCCCCTCCTCTAACGGCTCAAGAGCCGTTGAGGCTGGCCCCCCCCCAACTAACTTTTTTTTTTGCAGTTTTGCAGTCAGGTGTCCGTTGGCAGGAGCAAAAAAAAGAAAAAAAAAATAAAACCGTCACCGGTACCGGTACCGGTACCGGCGGTGCCGGTGACGAAAATTGGGAACCGGACACAGTACCGGTTGGGGCGGTACCGGTACCGGTTCCAGGGACCGTTTGCTCGTCTCCGGTGACGGTGACGGTACTCGGTACCGGCGGTACCGGCGCCGGTGACGGTACCGCACCGGTACCGTGTAATACCCTTAATGAAATATGGGTGGAGTGTATTAAATGAGGTGGGTGAGGTGTAATAAAAAAAGTAAGTGAGGGTAGTTATGGTATTTTAATTGTTAAAAAATGAAATGAGAAGATCTATTGTGGACAAAGAAAAAGGGCATTTGAGAAGATCTATGGGGGACGGAGGGAGTAATAAAGTTTTAATGTTTTTCCAAGAGTAGATACGGTAATCACGGAGTAAATAAAAACAAAGCCAAAGTTTATGGCAACCACTGTCGGCCCGCTACCTCATCTCCGTCCGATGGGCGGCGCCCCCACATACGTACTATAAATACGGAGTACATAGCAGCAGGTACGCCTCCTCCGGCCACCACCGCCGCCGCCTACGTCATTTACAGAATGCCAGATGATGAGACTCCTCGCCGTTGTGAGCCGTGTTGGACTTGGCCTCCGCCGTTGTGGGTGGTTGTTGTTGTCGGATCCGTTGTGTGCTGTGGCTTTGAGCTTCTTTGTGTGATTTCAATTGGTGCGTGTTGTATTTCATTCATATGAGTTGTCTATTGTTTTATTATTCAAAGTAACTTTGCATGTAAATTTGTGGTCTTGAGAAATGTTAATGAAAAAGTGTATAGATGTAGAGTCTCTTCTTTAGGGTTGAAAAAAAGAGCTGGATGTTAGAAGAAACTGGAAGAATTGGAAGAAACTGGAAAAAATTGAAAGAAACTGGAAGAAATTGAAAAAAACTCGAAAAACTTCAAAAAGATGGAAAAACTAAAAAAACATTAAAAAAATTTATTTTTGTGTATTTTTATATTATTCTCATTCTAAATCTTGTTGTTATAAATTACGGAATATTATTATTATTATTATTATTATTATGATCATCATCACGTTATCTTAATGAATATTTTAAGGATAAAAAAAGTATTGTTATTTTTCATACACAAAAAAACTTCTTTTTCAAAACAAATACTTTTAATATAAAGTTAGCATAAATATCAAAATGTTAAATTTTAAAAATGTTATTGTGATTACGTTGCATCTCAATTTATTTATGCAGTATTTATTATAAAATAATATATGTGTAATTATACTTTATACTACCTCCGTCCCAGTATATTTGTCCACTTTGACTTTTTCGAGTCAAATTGGATAAACTTTGAACTCCAATTACTCTCAATTTATATTGCATATTAGCATAATGAAATACAATTTTGAAAGTTTTCAATACGATAAATTCAATAAAGTCTTTTTTATGTTAAAATACATTATGGTTTTTATTTAATTGAAGCTCAAAGTTTGTCCAGTTTGATCGAAAAAGTCAAACTGGACAAATATACTAGGACGGAGGGAGTATATTACAAGATTTTGTTTTAAATATCAGACATGTCATATAATGTAATCAAACCTATTTTTTTAATGAATGACATTTTATTTTCATTGTAACTCCTATTGCTCACCTAGAAAAATCTAAAGTACAATAAATAAGAATAAAATAACGAATGATTTTAAACAGTGTAATCCTTTTGCCACACCGGATGTTGCCTAAGCCGACCACTCCGACGTACCCCACGTGCATCCACTGGCCGAGGCTCCTCTACCCTCTCGGACCACACGTCCGAATCCTCGTGAACATTCCTTTCCAACTGTGACGATTCGTCCGTCTACATGGGGTCCATTCACGTCGTAACATACTCCCTCTTCCAAATACTTACTTCCATTTGAACTTTACACACATATTTAAGAAAAGTAAATTTCGTTTTGAGTTTCTCCTATTGCCCTTAGGCATTCCTCTTTCCGTCCCATAAAAATCTTCATGTTTTGTCTTTTTTGTCAAACAGTAGCATTCTTTAATCACAAATTAAGTATAACTTAATTAAACAAATGTTATAGAAATTTAATATATAAAAACTATTCCCTCCGTCCCAAAAAGATTTACACGTTTCAAAAAAATTGTGTCCCACAATCCCTTACCCATTTCTATTGAAAAACCACTTTTACCCATTACTTTTTCAAACCCTACCTATCACATCATACCTTTTTCCTAATAATCTACATATCACATCCTATTATTACCCATCACATCAAGGGTATTTTTGGAAAATCAACACAAAATTATCCCTCCCTTAATTTCAACTTTAGTCAAAACATGTAAATCTTTTTGGGACGGAGGTAGTATATCTTAAGATGAAGCAATATCGAATTTACATTATAATTTTTTTGGGGATTAACTTGTATTCAATCAAATAACATACTTTCTCTGATCCAAAAAACCTTTAATGTTTTGACTTTTTCTAGTCAAACAATGATACTTTTTTACCATAAATTAAACTAAAAATGATATAAAACTTTATATATCAAAACTATATCCTAAGATGAATCCAATTATATTGAATTTATATTTTAACTAATTATATTTTTCTCATAATTTATAGTCAAAGTGTGTCATTGTTTGATACGGAGTAAAAAAATGAAAACAGAAAAAGTTTTTAAAACCGGGGAGAGTATGAAATAAAGTTCAAGGGTGAGACAAACCACTCCCCAAGCTCTGAGAAGAATGAGATTCGTGCGCCAACAAATGCACTGTCTCATTAACTAGTAGAGCGAGGAACAAATTGAAACCGAAAATCTTCGCCACAAGGAGCACATGGAGTTTTACAATGATCAATAATAGTGCTTAAATAAGACCAATCATTCAATGAACTCATCAAACTATCAATAACATCATCGTTGCAGTCTGATTGAATGAAAACATTCCTCCATCCTTGTCCTTTGATCCAGCTCAGGGCTTCCTTTACCGCAATAAAACTTTCGCCTCCCGTGCTCCGAAGCTTCCTCTGCATTCGATATTTTTTATCGCAATAAAAGTCACATTGTGATCCCAAGCAATGAAACAAAGATCATAGTTCATGAGGCCTACTGAAACATCTGTGTTGATTTTAAGAAACCCAATGGGTGGTTTCTCCCAAACAACCATGTGACGCTGTTGGTGATAGGGATAACGAAACGGTGGATGGGTTTACGTGTGAAATGGTGAACTTGAGAGGGGTGGTGTTGGAGGCGGAGGACGTGGCGGCGGCGGCGGTGTTTCTTGGGAGTGACGAGTCCAAGTATATTAGTGGGACTAATCTTGTGATTAATGGTGGACTTTGCACTACTAATTTTGCCACTTATAAATTATCTTAGGTAATGTTTGGAACTAGAATTCATTTCAAATCCAATATTTGAAATTAAATAATTTTGAATTCTAAATGTGGTTTGGAGAATTAGAGAATTTGAATTTTAAAGTATTTCAATTCCAATATTTGTGATAGAAAATAGTTAGTTTAACTTTTTTGAGTTAAACTGGACGAACAGTGAAGCTCAATTAAATATAAACTAAATGTATATATTACTATTAAAATGATTTCATTGTATTTATCATGTAAAGAACTTTGAAAATATTATTTCATAGTATTAATATGCAATATAAATTGAAAATAATTGATTACGGAGTATTAAAGTTTGTCAAATTTGCCTAAAAAGTTAAACTGGACAGATACACTGAAACGGAATGAGAGAAAGTATATCGAATCTGTTGCTCGCTTATTCTATTTTTACCATGCAAGCGAGAAGACACAAATACTACCAACATCAACTGCCTTCCATACATGACCAAAAAAGTCTAAGAAGGCTAGGGAAACAATAGCCCACTTGGCGAATCAATTGTAACGACGTGCTCATCCTCGCCACCAGATTCATCACTTGATTGGTCTCTAACTTCAGCTGCAGCGTTTTCGTTCTTATACCCACGAGGTTGTGAAACATTTGATGGAATACATGAATCTGACGAACTTTGAGAAAGACAGCTTTTGGTGTCGTTACTTGAAACATGCCCTCTGGTGCTGCTTATCTGATACTTCAGGTCAACACATAATTTGCAATCAAGTTAGGTGTTGGTTTGTTTACCAAATCTACCACATACTCATTTGGAACTATAGAAAAAAGGAACATATGTAGAACATGTTTTACTATAATGGTGATGCCATATCCCAACCCCAGAGTACATTAATACTCCGTAATATTTATTCGGCAGTAACATTCAAAGACTACTTTCATATTTGAAAACATTTGACTGTCCATTAATCCATCTAACGTTTTCTTTTTCACCCGGTATAAAATAAGTGTTTCAAACAAGTTAAGAATGTTTAAATTTACGTATAGAACTATGGGCCGGTTCAAATGACACTGGTGTATGGTGTCATATCGTGGGCCCTATGGTGCATTGTTGAGCCCGAGACTGGGGATGGGTTCAGGGGAGGAGCAATTTAGAGGATATGCAGGTCGCCCATGGGGAAGGGGGCTCCACTGGTTCCGATAGGCTACAGTGTGGGGGGTAGGGCTTGGTCAAGGCCCAATGGAGCAGTGTAGGGCCCTACAGTCCTCCATTGGGACCGTTTTCATATAATGACACCCTACACCGGTGCTATTTGAACCGCTCCGTAGAACAATAATTGATGATTTCTCTTAAAAGAAGAGCTTTTATTTACAATACTTCATATTAAATACTCCCTTCGTCCTATAAAAAAACTTCGTGCTTTCACAAAGTGTAAAAAGTGTTGAAAAGTGAGAAGTGTGGTTGAAATTTGCATAGATGAGAAAATTTTGTCGCATGTTCATTTCTTTAAAAGGAAATAAAGCATGATATAGCATTAAAATGAGAAATTATGAAGATTTTTGCGGGACGGAGGCAGTATTCCACCAAGATAATCAATATATAAAAAAGTAAAGAATATCATATACAATGAATGTGGCAGACATGGAACCATCATTGCATGTACTATGAGTACATGCCCACTACATGTTCCTACATAGATGAATGTCCTCTAATGTCTAATATAAAAGCAATGATATCTGGTCACACAAATAGATGAGTCATCTTATGGGATGGATGGGGCACATATAATAGCACCAACATTGACAAAAAAAGAAGTTTTGACTTACCTTTCCGCCAGAGAGAAAAGGTTGCATTCCCTGTGTGGAAGAAATGTGTTGCTGTTGAGAAGTGCCTTCTTGATTGTCGTAATGTTCTCCAATCATAGACAAATGTTCAGGCCAACTCATTAGACTCCTACTCTCTCTACTAAGTGACCTAGGCATGTGCTCAGCTGGATGTAATAAAAACGACGATGACAATCTATTGTGGCTTCTCATCGATTCAAATGCTCCAATATCAAGCATGATCACCCTAGCTCGTGTCTCAACTTGATACCAATGTGCTTGATGTAAAAAACTGCCTGCTCTAACACCAACATATATAGTAGAACAATGATGACTAGTTTAATAGAGAATGCAAGAAAGTGCGAAACATAACTTCAAAGCATACAAATTAGTACGATATGGCACTGCCTGTAATAGAATGACGAGCCACCAGCCATGAAAATCAAAGACCAAATCCCTGATTTCATTCCATTAAGAGGACATAAACAAATGGATATTATTCTTGTGATTTGTGAGTGGATGTTGCTTGGAAGTTTTCCCCCCTTTGTATGTGTATTTATTTCGGCCTTAGGCCATTTGTGAGACTCATATTGTAATTCCATTTTCCATTTAGTAACACTTGTGTTTGCTATTTAAATTCCTAAATCTATATCTTAAGAGTGGTTATCTTAAGTGTGAGTTTTAGGTTCTAGATATTTAATTAAGTGTGTTATATCATAATTAAGTTCTAGACTTAACCCCAAGTTAAGATAAGAGTGTGTAATATCTCTTAAACACCAACTTGGTTTATCCCCTAAAAAGAAAACACCAAAAGAAACTCCTTCCTTTTTCTTTCTTCAATTCAGCCCCTCCATTCCCTCCTCTAAATACAACTCATTTTCACCCTTATACAAAATATAGTCTAAAACCTATCCTCCCTTTGCTGCCATTTTCGTACCAGAACATCCCCCCTCTAAATACATCCATCCCTTTACTTAAATCTTCTTCCAAAACCAACCCAAGACACCTCCTGTCTCCTTGAATCCATTCGGCCCTGATCCACCCTCCTTCCACCTTGAGTTGCAGCCTAACATGTATGCACAACGAGCACCCAAAGGAATGGAGTAGCTGGATTCCTTTGGCAGAATGGAGGTACAATACCACTTTTCACTCTTCTATTCAAATGATACCTTATGAGGTGCACTACAATCAGCACCCTCCCATTCACAACATATCTACCAGGTGAAACCAAGGTAGAGACTGTTGATAGGTCTCTCCAAAGAAGGAAATCTATGATTCGGCTATTAAAGTTTCAGCTCCTAAAGGCTCAAAACAGAATGAACAAGCGGATAAGCATAGATCTGAAAGGCAACTTGAAATAACAGATTCGGCATGGCTTAAACTACAGCCATATAGGCAGGCAGGCAGCAAACAGTGCAGTCAAGATCTAATCAAAAGATAAGGTGGAAGAAGTTGCCCCTAAATTCTATGGGCCATTCCAAATACAAGCTAAGGTGGAGAAAGTTTCTTATAAGCTGCAATTGCCTCAATCAGCTCATGTCCACCGCACTAATCATGTGATTGCCAACCAGTCAACTCATATGATTGTTAACTAAGACGGCTCTGTGGCATTAATCAAAGTTCAGAGATGCATTAACTAAGACGGAGTAAAGTTCATGTTCAACTCTCAAGGTGTTAAAATTCAAGTGAATATCAGTTGGCTTTGAGTTTAAGTTTTTCAAAGCTCTATATCAAGTTCCACGCTTCAGTTTTCTGTCAAGCGTGGAGCATATTTGCAGATGTTCCAGCTTGAGGGGGTGTTCATATACAAAAATACAGTAGTAAGTCATAGACTCATAGTTTTCTAGAAATATTAGAATTTTATATTCCTATTGAGCACAGGCCCATTATTTCTCTATATATATGCCTTGCAAGTGTGTGTAGACTTGTGAAGTCGCATGTTGAAAGTCATATAAATAGCAGCACTGTTTTTGTGCACAGCCAAAAACAAAATTTCTATTAAACAACAGCTACTCAGGGTGGGTGTGAAGTTGTGAACGTTACTGTCCAATTGTCCATCCTATGGAAGCTATTCCAGCTATGGCAGCAATTAGATCTAAATGGAGACTTACAACTTTACAAGCTTAAAGAAGAAATGCACTTACACAAAATCCTACAACAATCATATGTAGCAGCTATATTCAAACTAAGATCTGGCAACTCACAATTGCAAGCAATTAAAAGGTAAAAGAGTAAACATCCATTACACCAAGTAACCTCGCCCTGGACATTTTATGAGTATCATAATAATACCTTCGGTTCCAGATCTTTGGGAACTTTGGCCTATGCAAGGATTTGGCAATAATGCTGCAGGAGAGGATACTAACTCGCCATCATCACTTTGACGCTTCACAAATCCTTCTAATAAAAAACCAATAGAATGGTGAGCCAATTCAAAACATTCTCCTTTTACGTACGAGCTCAGTGTGGATTTTCGTGCAACAAGAGTTCTTAAGTCGGGCATCCCAGCATTCCCAAAGACTTCAGGAAGCAAAACATTGGCAAGAATAGTCACGCTCTCCTATAAAACAGGAGACTTCGTTTGTCATCCACTGAGAAAACATGATACTCTTATAAAAATAGACTAGCAGATGTAAGAAAATAATAGGAAGAACAAATCAAATGCAGAATAGAGTTCTGATTTTTTTTAATTGTGAATTACATACAGGAATTCTATGTTCCTGGATTATTTATAGACATCAACCAACACAACTTTTGGTACTAATCAACACATCTATTACTAACTAATACAACTTCTAGAAATAACTACCTTTAACCTCCAGAAATAACTACCCATAATTGTCCCTTTTATTTTTAAAATTTAAATCTAAACTAATAACTTATGACCATGAATTAAACAATACGATTAAATCTAACAATCACCCCCCTAATCGTTGTTTGTTCACACCAATCTTCACAATAGTGTTGGTTCATCATCATCTTCAATCAAATTTGCAATGTCTTCCTTTTGATCCCATTTTGGACATTCGTTCAAAAAATGTCCTAACTCATTGCACTTGAAACACTTAATGTGACTCTTATCCCGCTGAAGCCGACCGCCATCCTGACCTTTCCCGGACCCCCGACCTCTACCTCGGCCACGTCCAAAATCTTCTCGGTTTGAGCTCCAGCAACCACAATGCTTACATTTCTGCTCCTGAACCTTCTCTTTTCCATTACCTTTAGTGAATAATAGTTTACCATGTGTATCTCCTTCCTCAGTTGGCTTTCTGATGCGTTCCTCGAATGCTTTCAATCTTCCCACCGCTTTTTGAAACGGCATTGTGTTAATGTCAGCAAACTGTTCAATTGCAGCAACGATTTGTATGAACTTTTCAGGCACAGAACCCAAAAGCTTTCGAACCAATCTTTTGTCTTCAAATGCAGACCCAAGGTTGTTTGCTTGTGTTGCAAGTTGACTAATTTTACCTGCAAAATCATCAAGTGATTCATTGTTCTTCATCTTTAGAGTCTCAAAATCTGATTCAAGTGTCTGTAATCGCGCCGCTTTAACCCTGTCAGCACCAACGAAGCGAGTCTTCAAAGCATCCCAAATTTCTTTTGCTTCCGTAAACTGAGCAACTTGTAGTATGATCTCTTCTGGCAAAGCTTGAAACAGATATGCTATTGCCATATTGTTCTTCTTTGGATCGATTTCTGTTCCTGGTTCGTTCACCTCCCAAAGCCCATTAACATTAAAAATTGCTTTGATCTTCACGGCCCAAATAGTGTAGTTTGTAGCAGTTAGAATTGGAACCTGAAAAGATAGTGAACTATTTTACCTTGTAGTCACAATCTGTCTGTTGTCTTCCATTGCACGACTTTAATTCCTTTGACAATTTTCACAAAATTCTTAACTTTGATTCCTTCTGGTCATAAGCCACCTGCAATCGACCACCAACCAGAAAACAAGCCCCTGCTTTTCTGTCTTCCAAGCCACTAAACGAAAGCTACCCCGCTGATTCGTTTTTCCCGCACTGTTTGGTTGGAATGCTTCTGCCAAAGGAAAAAACTAGTCACTTGCTATTCTTGTCCTAGGCGAGGAAGAATCTTGTCGAAGATTTTGATCTGTTGTCAAGGCAGATCTCCCTTTTCTTGCCGCTGATCGCACACGCTCTGATACCAATTGTAGGAAAATAATAGGAAGAACAAATCAAATGCAGAATAGAGTTCTGATTTTTTTTTATTGTGAACTACATACAGGAATTCTATGTTCCTGGATTATTTATAGACATCAACCAACACAACTTTTGGTACTAATCAACACATCTATTACTAACTAATACAACTTCTAGAAATAACTACCTTTAACCTCCAGAAATAACTACCCATAACTGTCCCTTTTATTTTTAAAATTTAAATCTAAACTAATAACTTATGACCAGGAATTAAACAATACGATTAAATCTAACAGCAGATATACCTGCAATTTGCGAAAAGCAATGCCCTACAAAAATCAACTTGAAACTGATCCAGTAAAGTCAAACCCTATGATGTAGTAAATGATTTTACCTTACCTGTCCAGAGTAATTGTTTGTTGATGTTACTAAACAATGAGTTCTAAACAATGAGTAGGGTCAGGGGAGGGTGTGTGTACGCGGTGGACCTTACCACTACTCGGATGTAGAGAGGCTGTTCCTAAAATGAATGATAATAGCATGTGTGCCATCGTATTTAGATCATACTTTCATATATTAAGAGACTATATTTTGAATAACATTTCAATAATTTAGGAAATCAAGCCATAGTCCCATATTAGTTACAATTTCAGTAAATTTATTTCAGTGAAATTTACACTTATCAAACATGCTATAGCCCTGTAAGAAGACTAAGAGCTTGTTGCCTTCAACTTATTCTTATTGGAATCAGATTAGATCAAACCAAAACAGAAACAACTTTAAATATAACTACAATCACGTCAGACCAAATCAGATCCAAGACCTGACAAAGAGAACAAGCTCTAAAGGTTAGTAAATCTGGATTCAGGTCTCACGTCCAGTCTTGAGCAATCCCAAATTTATTTATTGCGATCTATTTGAGAAAAAATGATTAACTAAATTCATGTATGTATAATACTGTCTTTTCAATAAAACAAGAGTACATAATGTAGTTATGGAATCAAAGTAATGTATTTATGTTTATATAAAGTGCATGCTACAAAAGCAAGTTCATAGCATTGCTATACAATATTTGTTTTTCATTTTTTTAGAACTGGTCCTTACTGGTACTGGCCTGTCCTTGGGACCATGACTTCCCTATGCTTGCTTCAAATTCGGCCCTTGCACATGTGAGCAGCACCTAGTGGTCCGAGAACCAGGACTGAACCACAACATGCATGTGCTCAGTCCTGCTCACATATAATGATATGATAGAAGAGTTTTGTTGTACCAATGTACCATTATAAAAAGTAAAGGTGTTTGCATCTTTAATCATTAAAATTGTCCACTAAGTACTTGCACAATTCTATTAATATGGTAGCGGTGTCTATAAACCTTTCAAGCCTAATATCAATAATTTTAAGGCATCTAACATGTTCAACTACATTTACCTCTATTAAACAACTTCTAGATAATGTGTGAAATGATTTTTTTTAAAAGGAATTAGATGAAATGGCACACGATATAATGCACAACAACAAAACTCTCCTTCAAAGTTAATCCCATCAATGACAACTCTGACAACTCAACATCTCAGTAAAAATGATTGGAAAATCAAGGAGAGTGCATAATGCGCAAAACTAAAAGAAGTTATCACTTAGGGGTAAGCATAAACTTAATTGAGTCCAGAAAATACTAGCCTACCACTATTTCAGTGGGATGTACACATTTTATTTGACGGAATATAAGGCCTCAGTTCAAGGGTTTCAATCTTTATTCACTCTTATAAATCTTGATATATATATTCATAGAATATAGAACATTAATATCAGGTTAGTAGCTATTGAGACTCATATGAATGATATGATAGATACAAAAGCAGAATAAATATTTGGTAAACAGTGGATGGACACATGGGCCAAAGAAAATTAGACAAACCAAGAAATCCACAAGCTAGTGGAAGCGCAGAAAGATTCTTAAGGTCAGTGTATTGATAAGAATGAGCTCATAACGAGCACATGCCAGAGAGAAGAATTATGCAACCCACAACAATCAAAGCAGGAAAATTATTACTCCGTATTTATTAAATCAGGCCTAATTCACCCAAAGAAAAAGCTCAAAATGGGAGGTTGCATGCAAGACACATACTACCTCATAAACAACTGATGTTGGAATACTCAACGCACCTCACCAAGCCTAGCCCATGCTGGGCTGGACAACCAAAAGAGTGGACAAATGGGTCCAAACCAACCCCAACAAGATACCCCAAACTATGAGTTTCCCACAAACACAATACCATATCAAATCGGGTTTAACCCGCCCCAAAATGATCCTTTAAAGGTAAGATTTACCTAAATTGCTTGTGTGGATAATTTTAGAGGCAACTGTTCGAGATAATATGTCTTGCACAAACTACGCAATACAAACTTCGGAATATGTCTAATCCACCCCTGTAAATTTCTTGGCACCAAATTGATCTGTATATCTAACTATCATTAAAACTAGAACTGCAAACCGTTACATTCCTCTCTTGAAATCAAAGAATAACCCATGCTAAAGATAAAACTACCTCTTTTTCTCATAGGATTCATTGAATACTTAGGTTCTGCAATTCTGAGATACATATGAAGTCCATGTTTTCATTAAAGTAAATTTTTTCTTTGTTACTGTCTTACGGTTCGATGTATCATTTTGAAGTTGAACCGTTTACACTCTGTTTGGTTCAAGGAATTTGGAAAGAAAATTAAAGAAAATGGTTCTCTCACTTTCGTCAAAAAAATGGGTGGAATTATGTTTTCCATCTTCTTAGTACATTTTTTCTTCTAACTTTAATTTCTTTCCACTTTTCTTCTTTTTCTCTCTAACCAAACAAGAAAAAGAATTTTCCATCTCATTTTCTTTTCTTTTCCCTTTCAAATTCCTTGAACCAAACATAGTGTTAGAAAACTCAATGCATTTAATAGAGGTTTATGAAAAATCTACAGTTGTTTGCCTTCCTGTGTCCAAGCGCAACTTTCTTATCAGCTTTATTGAATTCCTATTTTTTCTCTTTACAAACCTAAACATAATGAAATTATTTAAGTCTTTCAAATTCTAGTTGAAGCTTACTTACACTTGTAACATAATTGCGAAAAAAACAATCAAAACTGTACCTGCCAAAAGACATCTTCTATGGTAGGATCAGATCGAAGAGCAGAAAGTAAGTTCTCAGTTTTTACAAAAGAACAGAAAACCACTGAATCAGTTATAATATCACAGATGTATGGCTTTCCAACAAGAGCTTCATACAATCCCAATGTACTTCCATGTGTAAATGTGGGATGCAGCAGGTGATTATGGCTTGATATCTGGCTTGTCCACTGTCAAGGACATATAGTGTATGTTAATGATCCCTAAATACCTGCAGATGCTAACTGTCAAAACTGATGTATCTTATAGAACACGATTTACCTTCACTACTCCATTTGAAATAAGCCAAATGCCAATTGGCTTATCTCCTTCTCTATAAAGGGTAGAACCACTTAGCTTCATAATTTCTGTAGCACAGCCAACCAGTGACTCAGACACTGATGAAGGAAGGGCTCCTAGGAAAGGATTTATACTAATTAAGTCATGACCAAGTGGCATTTTTACAATAGGGGGGTTCCGTAAGAGTTTCTTTAGGTCAGTCTGCACATAGTTTAAAGATAATAATTAGGAAGAAATGGCCAAGAAATGAAATATAAATGTTAGCCCCAGCTTTTATAGGCCAAGAACATTTAATAACTAATAATAATAGTAATAAAGCTAAGCTATATTCTAAATGCAATCCATGCTTCCACAATCCACAGTCCGTCATCAATTCATCACGCGTCGGTGCGTAAGATCTCTCCGGCCACTGGGTTCTTGTTTTGTGGCTAGGGTCTCCTTTTTGTATTCATGGACACTGTTTGGACATTTGCAATGCATGTAAAAATGTAATTTCAGGTTGAAGTTTTGGGAAATGTTTACAGAACTGAAATATGGTCTTTTGATGTTTCTTAGTAGTGTTCCAAAGCTGATCTAATTTGCTGATATCGGTCTCTCGGACTTCGATTTCAACCGTAGGGAGACCTTTTCAAAAAAACATTGAATGGGTCTTGGGTTAATTACTTGTGCAACAAGTTGGGCATGATCAACATCAATGCTCAACTTGAGGGGAAATGTTATGGAAAATAAATATTGTGCATATCATAGGGATTTATTTCGGATCTGATGTTACGAACGCATGAGAAGATGATATTGATCCTTCACTGCCAGTGGTGGGAAGGAGGGTGGAGCAGTCCCTGACTAGCTTCTCAAATTAGAGATTTGACGTCAACCATTGATAATTTTATCAATGATTGTAAGGCTTTAAATAGGCAAAGGCAAAGCCTTACAAGAAACCTACCATGATCATGCTAGGAAACATGAATCCTTATTTAGAAATATTAAGTAAAAAAGAATAAGAGTACTAATAAGAGACTTATAATAATAAATTTCTTTAGGAAGATTAATTAAATCAGGAAGATTAAATAAACTAGGAAGATAACCGAAGATTAAGCATGAAATTTACATTTATCAAACATTTACATATGAGTACATACGTAGCACACGATTTAAAGTGTTAAGAAAATATTGAACTGAAATTAGTGTGTGAGGTGAGTTCAGTTTTTAGGTGGGGTGTGACTATCGATCTATCACCACCCCTACTAGTAGGAGACTTATAAGACTACTAAGAGGATCCATAATGATACTAATAATAATAATAAATAATAATAATAATAATAATAATAATAATAATAATAATAATAATAATAATAATAATAATAATAATACTCCCTCCGTCCCATTTGAATCTTTCCAGTCCGCATTCCGATGCATGACCAACTTTATTTTCAATTCAATTTATTTAATTGTAGGTGTAAATTTAAAAAATAAAAACTATATATTTAAAAACAAGATCAAAAGATCTACAAAACTAGAAGATGACATGATTATATTATATTATCAAATGAGTAATGAAAATAAGGAAACAAAGTATATAAAGTTTGTCCTTGTGAATAGTATACGGAAAGATACAAGTGGGACGGAGGGAGTAATAAAAACAACCATAATAATGTTATCAATGACCATATCATAAATTAGTGACTTTGTTTCCAACAAGCATTGAGCTCTTTTATTTTGTATATAAAGAATTTTGTTAACATAGAGGTCACGAGATTGGATAGGATTCCGAATGAGGTTATCCGTAGAAGATAAGTTGCGGGAAGCTAGGTTGAGGTGGTTTGGGAATGTGAGGCGGCGGAATGCTGCCATTGCAGAGATGCGAGAGAATTACGTTGGTGGGAAGAGTATGGGAAGGGGTAGACCTAGGAAGAATTGAAAGAAGGCAATTAGACATGATTTAGAACTTCTTGCCCTTAAGAATTGGGCTCAAGGGTAGTTGTTTGTACTTGTCCCGTTTGCTTTCTATGCCTTGAATGCTTGGTACTATTCGATTGCAGTACTTTGCCTTTGTTAACTTTAGTTTGTTCATTGCCCTGTGTGCTTGGTGATTTATCTAGTTTTCTCTACTTTATATAATTCTTTTGATCTTTTTATCTGTGCAGTTTGAGCCGGGGGTCTCTTGGAAACTGCCTCTCTACTTTCAAGTAGGGGCAAAATCTGCTTATACGCACCCTCTCCAAACCCTACTTTCGTGGGATTCAACTAGGTTGTTGTTGCTGCTATTGTTGTTGTACAGGTCATGAGTTCATTTCTCAAGAAACCATATGTTAATTGTAGTGCAAGGTATGTAGGAGTCTTTAAACCAGCCATGCTTCTGTTCAAGGGGTATTCATGTGAGGGACCATGTTATAATATAGTACTAGTTTTGTCCCTAAGTATTTGTCCAATTGATTTTTTTTCAATCAAATTGAAGGAACTTTGATCATTCATTAAATAGTCGCATTGCATATAATATGATTTCATTAGATTTATATTGCAAAAACATTGCAAAAGATTATTTCATTGTATTAATATGCAATCATTTTTAATTTGATTGGTGATCTATGTTCATCTAGTTTAACTAAAAAAAGTTAAACAGGATGAATACCTTGGGAAGGAGGGAGTATATTTTTCTTTGTCCTCCAACCATCAACTTAAGTCTTTGGTTGAGTTAGGCTCTGTTCCGTTCAACTTATTTTTTCTGATCTCATCTGATTTTTTGTAATTTTGATCTGATCTGATTGGATCTCATCTAATCTGATCTAATTAGATCTGATCTCATTGAATCTGATTTGATCTGATCTGACCTGATCTACTTAATTATAATTTGATTTAAAATTCATATCAATAATTTGATCTGACTTTATAATAACTTTTGAAAATTGTAATGATAATTCATATTATAATATAATAATATTTTTTATGATTATTTTATGATTATTTTTTAATGAAATAAAATTAGTTAATGAGATATTATAATGATCTGATTTAAAATTCAAATCAATATTTTATGATTATTTTTTAATGAAACAAAATTAGTTAATTCATATATTAGAATAATCATTCATATTATAATGTAATAATATTTTTTATTTTATGATTATTTTTTATGAAATAAGAATATTGATTTAATATTTTAAAAATTAGTTCAGTATATACATTAGAATAAATATTTAATTCATATATACATTAAAAAGGAATTAGATTTAGATAATCAATATAAAGAAGAGATGGTATTTTTATTAAAATATCTCATCCTTAATATCAATGTTAAGCAAAGAAATAATACATTTTTTGCATCTTGTATAATAATGTATTACATGCTAGATGTGCTTGAAAGCATCGTATCAAGTGAAACAAGTAAAAAGTATAGAATTTAAAAAGTATGGACTAATAACGATAATGATAATGATAATGATAATTCCTAATAATAATAATAATAATTCTTGATTGGATCTGATCTGATCTGGTCTGATCTGATTTGATCTAATTTTAATAAGAATAAGAAAAAAGCAGAAAAAATAAGATGAACGAAACGGGGCCTTAGTTGACTTGGATCTTAACAAGGTATAACTATACCAGAGCATACCCATTTGTTGTTCCTATGATTTGGGACTGCGGTTTGGAATCAACTTGTTTGTTGTCCAACATTGTTTTTTAGAGGCGTGTTAAGTATCCCACATTGATCGGCTATGAGACCATATTCTAGTTTATAAAGTTTTGTAAATCTCTACCTCTTGAGGATGTTTTTAGGATGGAGTTAGGCCCAGTTAACAAAAAATTAAAAAAAATTAAAGGGTCATTTTGATTTAGTCTATTACTTACTAGAAGCTAAAACATTGTCAATAATGACTCACATTTAATTACATATTTTTAGGGATATACTTGATACATTCTAAGTTAATAGATATTTATGAATGTTGCGGTTGTCGCCTACCACAAAAAATGATAAATTACCTGTACAACATCATGAAGATGAATCATCTCTTTTTCTTCTAGTAGACCAATCTCTTCAAGATTATGCACATAATCAATCAATCGATTCAGAACGACGTAAGATGTTTGTCTAGTTTTGACAACACGGAGAACCTGAGCACATTCAAAAGCCATTCAGAACTAAAGAATACTAACAGCTAACAATCAACAAATCCCAAGAAAGAAAGAAAACAAATTGAAATCCAAAGATAAATGATGTATTGACATGACACCAAAAAATCATATTTCGTGGTTGTGAAAAAGATGAAGATTGTAAGTTTTATTGTGTATTTCCCTGTACTAGAGATTTCATATTTATACAAAATCCAAAGCGTGAGGTAAAATTATAGTTCAGTGTCGTAGAGCTATATTCTAAAAGGCACCAGGTGATAGGCATTAAACTTAGACCTCACCCAATTGAGCTTGCGCAAGGAGTGGTCGGTGTCAAGAGGTGGTTAAATGGCGCTAATCTAAGAAAAAATCAGAGGCGAAGGCGAACTTAGACAAAGCTAGGCAGGGTTTAGTGGTAAATAACTAAGGAGATTAATTCAAAATCAATTAATAATTCATTATCGGCAAAGAAAATTACCCTGATGATACAAAATTTTGGAGATGGTCAGCACTGCAATAGTTTTGCTGTTACCCATTGCTTATCACAATTCACGAAGAATAGAACGGACCATTCATATCCTAATTTTTGTGTCACATAATCAGAATTTTAAATTTTTGCCTGGGAAGATAACGATATTTAGCTTGACAACAATGTTTAGCTCTGAAACATTTGATAAAAATTTTCAGATGGAAGGAGAAAATAAAAAGTTTTTCATGATTGATATTCACCACAACCAGGAGAAGGTAATAGAAACAAGAAAGCTTAGGTGTTGCCTCTTTCGCCCCCAAAGGAGCATGGGTAAAATTGAAAAACAAAAACCTTTTTCTTATGTCCTTAAAATGTGTAGCAAGAGTAAAATAAACATTACGGGACACATAGTAGCAAATAAGGGCTCCAATACCATATAGAAACGACAAATGCAAAAGGAATTATTTGATTGTGCATTTCTCAGTACAAATTTAGTACAATTGAAGTGTTCAAAACCAATAATAATAACCAGGTTTTGAAATGGCTCGTAGTTTAACAAATACAAAAAGATTTAATTAAAATTTGATATTAAGTTCTAGGGACCATAGGCTTCATGTTTCACCACAACACATAGTTGTTACAACGACGTGACGAGCCGCCAACTAACATTCACATCAACTAAGCGACAATATGGCGACCTATGTATTATATGTGTGTACACACACATGTGTGTGCATATATGTGTGTGTGTGTGTGTGTGAGATTCGACAAGGAAACAAAATAAACAAGGAAACTACTGAAACCCAATCCTTATGGGATTCGAACAACCCACGGTAACACCCCCCCCTCAAGCTGGAGCATGCAGATTCCGAGTGCCCAGCTTGGACAATAAGTGAGATAATGAAGCCGGACCCAATGCTTTAGTAAGAATGTCAGCAGCTTGATCAGAGGAAACGATATGCGCTGTACGAAGTATGCCCTGCCGGATCTCATCTCGAACGAAGTGGCAATCAAATCTCAATGTGTTTTGTTCGTTCATTAAACACCGGGTTTGCAGCAATATGAAGAGCAGCTTAATTGTCACAAAAAAGCGTCATAGGAGCCTGATGACGCACGCCCAATGAGAGTAAAAGAGACCGAAGCCATTCTAATTCACAAACGATGGTAGCCATAGCGCGATATTCTGCTTCAGCTGAGGAGCGAAATACTGTATTTTGCTTCTTTGTGCGCCAAGAAATAGGGGAGTCACCCAACTGAATAAAATAAGCAGTCACTGATCGTCGAGTCAAAGGGCAGCTTGCCAAATCAGAATCACAAAATGCCGTAAGAGTTAGGTTGCAAGAAAATGGTAGAAAGAGACCCTGTCCGGGGCTAGAGTTTAGGTAAGGTACCTAAGTACCTGTTGAGCAGCGTCCCAATAATCCTGTCATGGGGTGCCCATGAACTGGTAAAGAGTGCACAGCATAAGCTAAACCTGGGCAACAGATTTTCAAGTAAATAAGGCGACCAACAAGTCGCCAAAACCAACCGGGATCAGGGAGTTCGACCCAGGTGGCTAAAGCGAGACGGGGATTGGGCGGTAACGGCGTGGCGGCTGGTCGGGCACCCAGCATCCTGGCTTCAGTTAAAATTTCTAATGCATACTTGCGTTGACACAAGAAAATTCCATTATTGTTACGAGCCACTTCAATGGCCCTGGGTCTTTAATGTAAAAACAATAAAGATGGCCTTGGGGAATTTTTTCCCAGAGGCATGCCTTGAGGCAGGTTTGCATCTTGCCATTTCGAACAGAGGTGGGGACTTTAGGGCATTTTGGCAAACTTTTGAAACCAAAGCAACGACTAAAGCACCCGAAGGAAATGCTTGCAAGGTGTCCACAGCGAAGCACCATATCGCCTAGGCGACGCCATGGTAACTGTGCAACAACAACAAACCAATAAAATCCCAACTTCATCGAGGTGTGGGGATCAAGGTATATTATTAAGTTCAGCATTCAGCTCAGACTTCAGAGGTGCTTTGTTAAAAAATACATTACAATAAATTCAGTTCATTTCACTTCAGTTAAGTTTCATTCAGCTTCAATGGACGTGCCTAAATCAATATGACACATTAAACTTTCCTTGCCTCTTACATTTTATGAAGTTTTGGGCACTAGATGCATCAATGATGTAACATAAACAACCTCTCTATTGCAGGGGTAAAGACGTAAGGTTATGTATATATTGATCCCCAGAGTGCTGAAACTAAGTTCAACTCAATAGGCCCTTAGTTCATTATTTACCCAGAGCAAACACATTGTAAACTGTAAAGAATAACTCTCTTAGATCCATTGAGAAAAGTGCAGACACAAAATAAGATCATAACGTGATATGCTTCAAGTTTCACTAACCTGAGGAAATGTAAGGCGCACTTCCTCAAGAAATTTTCTTGCATCCTCCCCTTCTTCCATACTTTCGTTTGTCACAGATGATGCAATTTCACTGTCTCCTGCAGAGAATAGTCAATCAAATTGAGCACACATTCATTAAATAGCAATCAAACATATAACCTTGTAATGAATGCTCTCTTCATATCTGTAACACAAGCACACAATAGATATATTACACACTATTGAAGTACTGATTGAGAATGAATATATAATATTGATGGTGGGTCCTCACATACAGCTTAGATATACCTTCAACTCAGGTAAATTACATTTCAATACAATGTGTATGTAGCAACAAGTCATAAGTTCACATCTCACTCTACAAGAACAACAAACCTAGTAAAATCCCACAATATGTGGTCTGGGAAAGGTGAGTGTAAGAAGACTTTTCTTTACTTGAAAAGTAGAAAGGTTAATTCCATAAGACCATCGGCTCTCAAAACAAAAGGAAAACTAAAACACCAAAAAGGGAAGAAGGAATGGCAAAGGAAAACTGCACGAAGCAGGCATAAAACCAGAAGCAACAAACTTAGACAACAAGTCCTATCACCCTAATCCTAAACCTTGAGAGGCTCCTAGCTAAGGTCATATCCTCCGTAAGATCCTGAAAACGTAATTCATGTCTAATCAATCCTTTCCAACTCTTCTTAGGTCGACCTCTACCCATTGTAATGTCCCTGTCGCAAGCCTCTCACACCTCTTCATTAAAGCATCAGCACTTCTCCTCAGTACATGTCCAAACCATCACAATCTAGCTTCTCAAAGCTTATCCTCCATATAGACCACTCCCACCCTCTCTGGATAAAGCTTTGTTCTGGACCTTATCCATCCTCGTAATATCTTATCCGTCCTTGTAAGACCCCGTTTTGGAGCTTCGGACTACCTCATGCAAAAACTTCCCTTTCACCTTTATTGATATCCTCTTGTCACATCTCAATTTGTATCATGTATTCAAAAATTCAATATTCTTGGTCCATTACATAATATGGGCTCCACTAGAGAAGGGCATTGTATTCCAGTTTCCACAAGTGAGTTCTGGAGGAGTGGAGGGTAGAAGATAAGCAAGTCGTTCCTCTACTTATGAAGAATGGAGAGATTCAGAGGTTGTTTGTGATAGACTTTCGGCTCAAAAGAAATATAATCAAAGTGGATTGGCGTGAATATTAGTTAATAAATAAAGGCATACAAATGATACAACATGACAAAATGCAAGTCGCAAAAAAGGGCAGCACATCCAGGTACATACAAGAGCAAACCTCTACACAAGCCCTATCACAAGTGGGACGGGCTAGACCCAACCTCTTAACCTAGATAGACAAAGCCTAGACAATCCACCACCCCTCTATCCTAATCCTTGACTTCCAAAACTCCTCGGTCCTGTGTACTCATGCCCCATCAACAATGATATAAGCCCTATGATGTATTAGCCCACACTTGATTCCATCAGTGTTTCTAGAAAGATTACATCATCATATATAAGCCCAATAATGTATTACTCCACATTTGGTGCATATAGTATGAGCCCACATTCATTTTTGGTGCAAATGAGCAAACAATCTGTCCTGAAATGCCCCATCAACAAAACGAGATATTGTTGTCGTAAAACTCCATAGAGTTATGAGCCCGAATTCATTTTTTGTGCATATTTAACACTTATAATAATTTTACTTACAAAAAGACAAGGCTTGCTCTACACATGAGTAGAATAAGGAAGTAGATGGATGAAGTGCTTAGACAAGAGCTATTACAAAATATCAGGGAAGGTCAAAATAGTAATCATAAGCCAAACAGCCATTTTTTAAATTTATCGAGAGACATGCCACTTTCAATCAAGGGAACTGGCTTTCTTCCTCCAAAGTAACATAGTATAGTAAGGGCATTGTTGAATTCAAACAAAAAACAAGTTCAGGGACATTAAAGATAACATATACCTATTGAGAAAAATATAAACTCACCAATGAAGTCATTTAACTGCTGCCTTGCAATCCTATGGGCCCGAAGAAATGCTGCACAGATGTAACAAGCAGATTCCAATCTCTGAGCAATGAAGAACGTGACAATCTTTTGGGGGACAATGCTTGTTTGAAGAAACTTGTAATAGTTTGGAATGTTAACGTGAGCTATTAGGCCTTTCCAATCACACAGCGCCACATGAGATACTAAGTCAAGTGCTTCATCTACTGATTCCATTAGAATGTTTGCAGTATTCTGTGTTATCCTTCCCTCATTGAGCATTCCCCAATAAGCAGCTTGAACACCTAGGAAACAAAATTTTCTACTTTGATTTTCATAGTGGTAAAAACAAGGAAATTGCAAATCCAAAGTGTTGGCCACATGCCATATTTTGCATGATTTGTAATTCAAAAAATTCCTGATTTACAAATGTAATATCAGTCACACAATTTCATTTTTCCTAAATGGAAAAATGAAATTGAAGAAATATGCTCCATAAATGGAAGGGCAGGCTCATAGAGATCAAAAGGGAGAAGGGTAGGTGAAAAAGAGATCGAAGAAATATGCTAAAGAATGGCTCCAATAAATGAGTGGACTAGATGCACTCATTTATAGTGATGTTAGCTGTGTAGTGAATGAAATGTTTTGGAGGGAAATTTTAATTTTTTGGCTTTCTTCCCTCTTAAAAACAGCACAGATGTAGTAAGTGTAGATAATTGTGGCTAAGATATATACTCATTTGATGTATGGAAGTGATGGGACATTTGATGCGTAGTGTATTTGCTACTCTTAAAATCTTTTTCTCTTTCCTTGCTGAATACAGGGAAAGGGAGGGACGGTGAAGGTATTTTGGGAAAACATGAGCCACTCTTTGACTTTCATTAATCTTTGTGCAAGTCAAAGAGGGGTATCCATTTAGGGGCGGCGGGAGCGGCATGGGAAATTTACTCATAGGTGGTGGGTTCACATTCGCCTTCCACAACGCCCATATGTGGGTTCACATTCGCCTTCCACAATGCCCATAGGTGGGTTCACATTTGCCTTCCACAATGCCCATAGGTGGGTTCACATTGTCCATGACATTACTCCAATGGCCCATTTACCTCTGTAGTCTGATTTTCTTATTTTCCATTTCTAGTTCTTAGCATTCCATTTCTCTTAATTTCTTATGTTTTCTAATTCTGATAACATATTTGAAAAATATATGTAATGTCACAATGTGATGGAAATAGTTGCAAATGGTGGCCATCAAGAGCAGCAGTCTTTAACAACATAATTGGTGGTTTACTGTAATTGCAGCGGCAGTTGGTTGGGGCAGCGCCACAGCGGGCAATATGGTGCTGGCTAAAATGATCACTAACATTGAAGGCTTGTGAACCACATTTATATATGATGCATGTCAATTCTTATGTGATTTGAATTATTTAGGTCACTGCTAATTAAAAAAAGAAATGAAATGTCTTCGACTAATACATTATGTCTGGTTTTTATTAAAACAACAACAAAGCTTTATCCCACTAGGTGGGGTCAGCTACATGACTCCGACAGTTTCCAAATATGACCAAGTAACAATTTGACTATAATGAAGCCCATAAACCTGATTGTATCATTTTCCCCTCAGTTGGGGCCAATCTTGGCAGTAAAAACCCAACGCCAGGTCGGCAGCTAAACATGGGCTTTCCTTAAGGAGAGGGACCAAGAGTTCTTTATGGTCGAAGTCCAACACCTTCATTTACTTAATTATAGCATGTCATCAACTTCGATAGGGAAGTGCCTCTTAGACAGCTAGTAGTGCAAGAAAATTTAAAAGCATAAATGGAGGAAGAGCCAATAATTCACTATTTCTTGGCTTTGAGAGTTTGAGGTATGATGGAATAAATCAAAATGGCTTTTTAAACAGTATGCGCTTCTTTTATAGTGAAGTAGCATTTAGTCAATGCAACTTTCAACACTCATCATGAGTCATCTGGAAACAGCCGCTCTATATTTTAAACATAGGGGCCAGACTGCGTACATCCGACCCCCCTTACCCCGCAATGGGCAGAAGCTTTTGAGGCACTAGGGTAATGTTGTTGTGAAGGGAGGAAGAAAACGGATAGTAACTTGAACAATTATAAAGATGATGAGGGTTGCAAGAGGAACATATACCTTTACACAGTGCAATGGGAAGATCAAAATAAGACTAAGATTGCTATGGGATTGTTAAAGATGACGGAATGGGTGGTAAGTCATGTGTGGGCATACATGGAAACTATATTGGCTGGACGGGATGACGGCGATAAGCGAGACAAAAATGCTCTATAAATGGTCCAATGAGAGCATGAAGTGATTCTGTGAGAGGTGATGCCTCAAATTGATAAAAACAGAACGCCAAATGCAAGCAACACCAATGCGCTTGGGTACAGTAATATAAAGCTGATCTCCCAAAAATGTGACATCACCAGAGGTATAAACATGTATTGAAGATGAATAGCACTGATATCCTTTCTTGCCTCAAGAATCACCAAAGGAACATACATTTGCATTTAATGGATCAAGTAACAAGTTTATCAAGACAATGAGCAAAGCAATTAGGCCCAAAAAACATTGAAGAACAATATAGAACAGTGGCCCATGATATAAAATAGAAGGAAGAACCTTGTTACTGAAAACAAATGACAGAATGTGATTTACTACATACTAAATAATATAGAGCAGTGGCACCATACGAAGAAGCTTGCCGGATCTTCATATCTTGATGCCTAGTCAGCCATTGCACAGGTCAATCCGGCCTTGGAGCTCTTGAGCTTCGAGGTCAAGGTGCTGTTCAGAGTTCCAGGGCCATTTCCTAGGGGGACATAATGGCAGCGATGGCAGAGATGCTTAACGCAATGTCCACCATAGGTGGTTCCAAGATTGGGACTTGGGAGGTTCGCTGGACAAAGTGAATTTGTCTGTTCTATATTGGCAACATAAAATCCTCACAAAGAATAATCTCTTGCATACAGAGAGATGCCCATTTCCACCGAAGAACAAAATGAAGAAAAGATTTTGTGAAGCTTGAGCAACCTTTTTGCGACTGTGCTCAGTTGTTCTTGTTCTTCAAAAGCAAGGTAAATTAGTCCTTCCGTTCCCTTATTATATTTACCTTGGTTCACAAGCCTTAATGAAAGTGGACAAAAATACTGGGACACAGGGAGTAATCTCTTTAAACTGTAACTATGTAAGATACAAATGGGAACCCCAAATTGAAATTTTTTATTTTATTCAGCACCTCTTATGTTTTGGAAAATATTAAAAACCCCTGTCGTTCTTTTGTATAAAGAACCAAAATAATAGGAAAATGTCTTCTATATTTTATAAGGGGCTATTTTGCATACATCTTGACCCCTAGACCCAAAAGAGTTTGTTTTATACTGGGTTCGCTGTTGTTGTTGGTGGTGGTGGTGGTGGTGTTGTGTGTATATATACTCCCTCTGTTCAACATTGATCATCAATTATCCTAAACAAGTTGTTTGTGACTTTGTGTTGACTTTAGTTAAACCAATAAACAACTCAAACTACATCTGTTTTAGATGGAGCTTAAGTTTCTGTTTAAGGTGCAGACATGACACTGCCCATACAGAAGTTTAAAATGACTAAGAAAAGTTCTTACCATTCAAGAAGCGAATTCGGATATCTTTCGTATTTAGATGACGTAGGCTATCATCATTTCCAGATGAATAATGAGGGTGAATTCCTTCATCCTCTAAATCATTTAAGCATGTAAGATATCTCTTGATAGAAGGCCAGTCAGCAGGTCCAAGTTCCTCATCATCTCCAAGGTTATCAAATGCCTCTACAGCTTTGTTCAACATTTCATACTTTGTGTACTTCAATATGCGACGCTTCGCAAAAAAAAAAAGTAAAATTTCACATAACTACTAAAGCCCAGCCAGACAACTACAAATAAGACAACAACAACAAACAACAACAACAACCCAGTTAAATCCCTCAAGAGTAGGGTCTGGGGAGGGTGTGTGTACGCAGACCTTGCCCCTACTCGAAAGTAGAGAGGCTGTTTCCAAAGAGACCCCCGGCTCAACGTCGAATTGCTTGACTAATTGCTACTTCATTAATTAAAGAAGCGCAGACAGTTTAGAGATCCATTTTGATTTATTCCATCACACCCCATAGATATTTTTGTTTATCACATGTTTTAATTATTCATCCCTTTAAATATACAAATTTTATAAACCAAATGAATATTTGAAAACCTACACATTAAAAATTCATTATAAATACTTTAAGATGATGCTAGTTTGTGACATAAAATGTGAAAGATGGAACACAATAGTACATGCTACCATCTTTTGATTGCTTAATCATATAGAGAAATCGCTAAAACTTTCATCACATAAGCTTCTTTCCTCCCTAATAAAACTTCCAGTAGTACCATGCATTAACTAGAACACTGCAAACTTTTTTCAAGTACATGAAAAAAACAACCCATTGTTTATATTTTATCTATGGAACATGACTTCATAGTCGACAAGACTTGATATAAATGGAATTTCTCACAATAAACATATAGGGAAGCGATGCATCAATTAATTTATTTTGACAAATTGAATTCAAATGATCAAAAACTTAGTGAGGAATACAAAATAATTGCAAACCAACCTTTGCCGATGATAGCATATCCATTCCCAAAATGTGTAAAATGAATTGTGTTGTGGATCCATTGATAATCAGTGTCAAGAACACAATTCCACCGGTAAAGAACATAAACTGCAAGTTGAGTACGTTTAACAATGAGCATGTAGGAGACGGTGAAAAGAAATTGTACAATTAACATCATATCTTGTGTATTTGGCACTCAAGGCATAACATGCTTCATCAAGACCCTTGAAGAATAAAATATTGGGTTCGATTGTGTATTAGTGTGCATCCCAACCAGAAAAAGTATCGTTGATTTATTTTTCTAGTAACTCAATGAGAGTCTTGTTTAACATACCAGAGCTCCAGTCTCTGGATTGATATGAGATGCATTCTCGCTTGAACGCTGAAAAACACAAAGAACATTATGTGTAACATCATAAATATCATAGTTGTAACAGCAAGAGACAAGACGCCAAGGTACATTCACATCATCTAATTGATTGGGCGCTCGCCTAGGCGATTAGATGGCGAGTGATACAGCGACATATATGCATGCATACATACTGCATACATGTGTGTTTGTTCTATATTTTTTAAATCCATCAGGCACTCACATAACTACTCACTTTTCAACATATCTTAAAATCTCCGCAAAGTCCAAATAAAAATACAATTTGAAACAAGTGTCTACCTCCTAAAAATTTAGAACAATCAAAAATTGTTTTATACCACATCTAATAGAACAAAGTTAACAAAAGATCGAGTTCAAAAGCATGTTAAAATATACATGGTGGGATTTAGTAAGAAACAATATTGGATTTTTTACAAACAATGGAAAATTGTATTATACCACATCTAATAGGACAAAGTTCTAAACCATGTTAAAATATACATGGTGTGATTTAGTAAGAAACAATTTTGGGTTTTTTCCAAATTTTAAGATAATCTATGTACTAATAACTTACAACGGTAAATTTGGAATGAAAATAATCCAAGTGAACATGATTGTTTCAAGAATTAATGTCTAACAAGTGTTCTAACAATATTTTCCGAATTCTAGGAGGGCAATTATTAATAACTTACAATGGTGAATTTGGCATGAAAATAATCCTAGTGAACACCATTGTTTTAAGAATTCATGTATAAAAAGTCTTGTCTCACACACACACACACACACACACACACACACACACACACATACATAGGGTGCAGATCATAGGGTGCAGATCAGGTGAGAATGCTCTTAGTGAGAGAAATGAAAATGATGCATTTTTCGTCCATTGTAATGCATTTGTACATTATGGCAATGCATTTTTGCAATGGCATCAAAGTTCAACTTATTTACTAGAATGACACTGCCTTTTTCCATTTTTTTTATATTTTCCTAATTTTTATGACCCTTAAATCGTGCACTCTAATGCGCCACATGCAATCTCCTATGTTTCATTAGATTGGGAATCATCCCAATTTTGAAGCGTGAAGTGCAATCATAATATTTGTTGGGGAAATTGAACTCATTGGATCCAAATTATATATATATATATATACATACATACATATATATATATATATATATATATCTGTGTGTGAGTATGTGTGTGTGAGGGCATCTAAAATGACGTCAGCTACTTATACACCAATTGCTTACCCCAGTTTGTTTCGGGCACATACGATGCCTCGTTAACAAAAATGATGGCTCCTACCCCCCCAACCTCCCCCCTAAACACCCCAGATCAACCGCTGTGGTGGGGGGCTGGGTGGGGGTTTAGGGTGAGGTACGAACCATCATTTTTTCCAATGAGGCACCACAGGTGCCCCTAATGAACTGGTGTAAACAATGAGTCGGATTCGGTTCGGATCTAAGTATACCCAAACTCAACCTGGAAAAATTTTTCCGATAAATTTTTTATGGACGAAATTATCCATTCCATTCAAAAAATTCCAAAGATTAGTGTTTTACATGTTAAGGCTATGAAATTTTCAAAAAGGAGGTTGCTTGCAAGCTAATATGTTGGCTAATCGTTAAAAAGGCGGGCGTGTGACCTGTATGCCTCTATTGTATTTGCACGGGCTTATCAAAGTTATTATGATGACAAGATGAGGCAAAGCGCCAACTTACCTTCACGTCGCTTAATTGATTAGGCACTCGCCCAGGCAACAATATGATGAGTGTGATATGGCCACATTTCTTCATACATACATACTGCATACATGTGTGTGTGTGTGTGTGTAGACAATCCCTTCGTCCTACAAATGTTTTTACACTTTCATTTTTTATATATCTCAAAATAATTTCTCATTTTCTCTGTCCCCTTTTGGAAAAGAATATATGGTCCGAAATACTTCTTTGTCCTCTAAACAAAAAAGAAAGTGAAAGACAGTAATGAAAAGAAAGTAAGGAACAGTCAGAACAGAAAGTGAAGAACGAAAGTCGAAACGACCAAAGCATTCAAATCGGGGACGGCGGCGGCCAATTTACTTTTCTTCATCGGCAGCAGTAATATATATATATATATATATATATATATATATATATAGATTTTGGTTCAGGTGAGAATGCAATCTTATGAAAGAAATAAGAATGAATCTGGTGCTTTAGATTGTGAGATCTAAGGGTTAGGATTGCATCAAAATTAGGTGCACCAAAATGATTTGAAAATGCATCATGTCGAAATGCACCAAAATCCTTTAAAAATGCACTATCTCAAAATTTGAGTGCAGGATGCAATCTGAGCCGCACGATGCATCAGATCCAAAGGCTAGATTTTATTCTTATTTCTTTCACCAAGGTGCATTCTCACCTGAACCGCCCCCTATATATATATATATATATATATATATATGGGATTGACTCCAGTGAGATGACACCTTACGGTGCAATGACATGCTTCGGTCAGATGACGCAAAGCTCACCACACTACACTACAAAGCTCACCAATGGACAATGCAAAGCTCACCTGGAAATAAAGCAAAGCTCACCACTTCGAACCCCAAAACTCACCTTTTCTTTAATTTTGAAAATTAAAAAATTAATTAAAAATAAAATAGCAACACCGGTCAACGGCGGCCGCAGGCGGCGGAGCAGCGGCCGGCGACCGGAGTATGGCGGCGGCGGCGACCGGCAACCGGAGACCGGCGGCTGGCGGCGGCAGGCGGCGGTCAATGCTGGAGTCAACGGTCAAAGTCTAGTCAGCACCCCTTCCTTTGATTTTATTTTTTCAAAAAAAAATTCAAAGTGTTGAAAAAAATATGGTGAGCTTTGCCTTACAGTTTGGTGAGCTTTGTAGTTGTGCTTGGTGAGCTTTCCAGTGGGCAGTGGTGAGCTTTGCGTCATCTAACCGAAGCATGTCATCGCGCCATAAGTTGTCATCTCACTGGAGTCAATCCCTATATATATATATATATATATATATATATATATATTTATATATATATTTATATATATATATATATTTATATATATATATATATCTATATCAAATTTACTTTACTGGTGTCGGATCTACTCAGGTTTTTTAATCTAATATTTGGCGGCGCTAGGGTTTCCAAATCTAAAATTTTACTGTCTGGTGACTTAGGGGATCTTTGGCAAGATTTGGACGCCCACACAACGCCCAGACCGCCTCACAACAAGTGTGTTGAGGCGTCCCCTGCGGCGTCCCTTGAGAACCACCATACCGCCTAGGCAATGCCATATCAACTATGGGGTCTATTAGGCAATGACAAAATCGAAGCTCAAAGTGGAAAACCTGATCAACTTGACAAAAAAACATTGCAAGTGCCATGTCTAACAAGTTAAATAAAACACAATGTATGAATATGATTGGGCAATGACACTAGTTACAAAATAGTAAAAATGTCTCACTTACCTTCACGGATAACGAAAGAGATAATGCTACAGCCCCTCGTAGACCAGACCATACGAGAATAATAGCTTCCTTCCAATCTAAACCATAGCCAAAGCAACGTAGAAATGGAAATAACATTCCAACAACAACAATCCGGGAGACTTGAACAAAAACGTAGAGAAGGATGAGGTAGCCCCATGAATGAGCTGAAAAGTATATCCTTTAAATCAGAACATGAGATATAAAAATTGATGTATGTGTGTGAAAATTAATATTAACATTAACTGCAGCTAAAACTGCTATTGCATAAGGCAGTAAATCATGGGTGATCAAACACCTAACAAAGCTCTATAAACTTAAAAGCAGACTTGCATTGGTTTCGTACAAACGAGATTGATTGTGAGATCACAACTAACAAGCTACAATATGTGAAGATAATGCATAAGAGAATGGTGAGCAGTCCTGAGCACAAAAACAAAAACATTTGCGTAGCATACCATGGGTTTTGGAAAAGTTGTTACTTCGAAGAACATCATCAGCTATGACAAGCCCACTGCAAGTTTAAATAATTAAATGATAAAAATGGTTTAGTCAAGACAATAAACTATCATTCAATCTCAAATAGTTGAAAGAACAACAAAAACACACACGTGAAAGTCAAGTACAAGTATATGAGTGAGTGCAAACAAATGTATAATTAACATAAAGTTTTAAAATAAAACAATAGGCAAATACACCATGAGCAAGGCAATGTAGATTTGACATTATCGTTTGACTACATATTCAGTTGTGTAAAATTTATGTACTTGACTATCTCTATATGAGTGAATCATTTGATTTATTTTTTTTGGAATGTGATTATGCAATGTCTACCTGCTTGAGCTTATGATATTAGTGAACTTATGTTCATATTTTACACTTATCCTCAACATATGCATCTGTAAAGGCAGGGCTGGTTGCAAAACTGATCGAAGAGGATGAACAAACAAGTTCTTCGTTGTTCGTGGCTACACTTAGAAGCCTGGGTTTCCTAAGAGTCCGTGACTTTGAAGAGAATAACCGAGGTTCCAACTTCCAAGATTATTTAGTACAACTTGAGTCCAGCAAACAGGCGGTTGTTCTAATATAACTTGGTTACCAATTACAAAGTGGAGAGCAGTAGTTAAAATAGCATCTAGACTAGGGAGGTGATGAAGAATTAATTAAAGGGTAACTTAAAAGATAAGTCACACTACACACTCCACAGGCTAGCAACCCGGGCCACTCTTCTTTGTCTTTCATTTACGTTATTGGATTCCAGTAAAGGGATCCGTAACATGGTTGTTAAGCCGTCGCCTAGTTGACGACTAGTCATCCGGTCGTTTTGGACATGGCAACTTGATTGTCGCCTAGCGACTGGGGTGGACTAGTCGTCTGGTCGTGTAAAGCAAAGACTAGTCGCTGATGGAAACCCTGCCCAATTTGACCTCAAAATTCATTAAATTTTAAAAATACTCTGTAAAAGCCCATCTACATCACTCACTCAGTACATCGCAATTACGCTTACCTCTCTCGTCGCCAAAGCCCATCTACCTCACCGGTCCTCATTGCAATCGACTCTTCTTCATCTCCAAGGATCTATCGGCTCTCTATCATCTTCTATGGGTAAGATCTTTTTATCTATATTTCTTTATCAGTAAAGTACTCCGTATATTACTTTACTCCGTAACTCGGAATGTCGTACCAACTACCAAATTTATTCAAGTTTTTATTTTTTTTCTTTTCTGCTGATTTCAGTTTATATTTGGTTTTTTTTGCTCATTTTAGTTTTTTTTTTCAGTTTTCTTTTCTGCTGATTTAGTTTATATTTGGTTTTTTTTGCTTAGCTTAGTCTCTTTTTCTTTTTCAGTTTTCTTTCGCTGAAATCAGTTTATTTAAAATTATTGTATCCAAACTTTTAATTTATTATTTATTTTGTTAAAAATGAAGATATAATGTTATTTATTACTTACCATTGGTGAATGAAGATATATATAATGTTAAAAATTTCAATACTAATTGTGATTTGTCGACTAGTCTACGACTAGTAGGCCGGTCCACTAGTCTCCTCTTCACCGATTAGACTCGATTTGTCGCCCACATGACCATGATCCGTAACAATATCCCCTCCCCATAATGAGCTTGTTTCCCAGCTCGAACCTCGGATATGCCACAGAAAAGACCTCCAGGGGTTCGCATGTGGCTTCAGCTTCTGTACCCGCTGCCAATGCACTATAATCTCTTTAGTTCCTTAGTTCCAATGATTTGGTTGAACCCGGATGCGTGTGGGCACAAGTTTTTCATCCACTGTGAATGGTAGGCGCATCATTTCCCACGGAAAATTCCCCTACACTATGGTTGGTTCAAGGAATTTGAGAAGGAAAGAAAAAGAAAATGAGAAGGAAAACATTTTTTCTTGTTTGGTTAGAGAAGAAAAGAAAAGAAAAGTAGAAGAAAAAGGAAATAAGAAGGCAAAATGTACAAAGAGGAGACAAAACCAAATTCCTTTCATTTTAGTGAGAAAAATGAGAGAAAACCATTTTCTTTTCTTTTCCTTCCAAATTCCTTGAACCAAACATAGTGCTAATGTGGCTCAAACACAGATACATGAAAAGTAAGATGGATCTTATTTGTCGGACAATTCCAGCCGGTACGCCACTGACCCCACCTCTGCAAGCACCTTGGATGGTCCATAGAAGCACGGCATTAGTTTTATAAACTTGTGTTGGCCAACAGAGAGTTTGCGACTTGGCAGAACAGTTGCAAATGCAGCCACATCCAGTCTCCCACCTAAAACTCGACTTCCAGGTGCTGCCTCTCATAGTTACATTTCATTCTTGCTTGAATTGCCAACCACTTACCCGTGAGGTAAGTAGAATAGAACCCCTCTCCCGCGGGTATTGATCGACCTATTCCACAAGGGTGGCTCTGCATGTACGCAAAAGAAGCTTTGATGGATGACAGCTGTATGCCAGTCTAAATGCCAAATTCCAGTGAAACAACTCCTTCAAGAATGCACTCATGAAGCCCTTGTCATGATCAGAGACAATTGATTCAAGAGGCACGTTCAAGCAGAAATCATCATTAAAAATATGGTGGCTACCGAGGTGGCAGTGTAGGGATGAGAGATGTGGCCATTAAGTGAGCATATCTGGAGAGTGTATCCACCACAACAAACAGTAAGGTTTACCATGTGACCGTGGAAACTGGAAAGCCTTTCACAAAGTCCATAGAGATGGGGCAATGGTTGTAGCAGCCTGGCTGGATGTATCATGGCCCATGTATTTTGTTGAAAGGTTTGGCAAGAACATATAAACTCTCCCACCACGTGGTTCATTCTGAGCCCAAACCATCTCAACCTAGCTTCCAACCGCTTAATATACCAAGGTGTCATGTCTACCCGTCCTCGGATAACCTCATTCAAAATCGTATCCAACCTCGTGTGCCCACACATCCACCGTAACATCTACATCTCCTGCAGCCAACGGACGTGGATTTTTTTACTACCTAGCACCCCGCACCATACAGCATAGTTGGTGTGACTACGGACTAGTAGAACTTACCTATTATCCTAGCTGAAATCTTCTTATCGCACATAACCACTGAAGCCAACCTCCACTTAGCCCGCGCTGCCCCAACACGATGTGCAACATCCCCATCCAACTCCCCATATGCTTGAATGACTGAGCCAAGATACCGAAAATTGTCTACCTTGGGCAATGGGTGAGAATCAATCCTAACTTTCACCCCTGATTTCACCTCCCGACCACCAAAACAACATTCCATGTATTCAGTCTTGGTCCTACTTTAGATTCATGGAAAGGCACCAAAGTTCTAACTTGTCGTTTAGTCTCTCGTGAGTGTCATCGATAAGCACAATATCGTCAACAAAAAAACATGCACCACGGGACCTCTCCTTGAACTCCATGCGTTAGGACGTTCATCACTACAACGAACAAGAATGGGGTAAGGGCACACCCCTTGTGTACCTCTATCGAGAAGGGTCATAGTCACCCCCAACAGTCTTTACCTAGTCCTGCCGTACATATCCCTGACCGTGCGAATCTATGCGATCGGAATCCCTCTTGACTCAAGACACCTCCACAAGACCTCTCCTGGCACCCTATAGTACACCTAACGTCAATAAACACCATTTGAATATCCTTCTTCTTAGCCCGATACTCTTCCATCAACCTTTGTAAGAGGTGAATGGCCTCTGTGGTTGATCTGCAAGTCATGAAACCAAATTAGTTCTCAGAAATGGACACCCCCTTCTGAAGCCTATACTCAATATCACCCTTACCATATCTAAAGTCTCGAAGCACCTCAGATTGCCCCAGCTCACCTAGTTCTAGCCTAAGATCTTCTCTCATCAATTTGCCACCTCTACAATCTCGAACAACACTCTACCATCGCTGCACTTCACGCATCTCACATGTCTAGATCTTGGACCTTCCTTTCACAAGCCTTAGCTAGCCGGAAAAATCTTTTATCGCCGCCTTCCTCCTCTATGTCCTTATAAAGGCGTACAAAAGTTGCATTCTTCACCCTCATAACCTCTACCTTAGCTTCCTTATGGGCAATCTTATACTCCGCTTTAGAAGAGCCGCCCTATCCTCCTCATCACTAAAATCTACGTACCTCAAATACACCACCTTCTTGGCTTCCAACTTACTTCAAACCATATCACTCCACTGTTAGGAATAGAGATCAGAGGCGGTCAAGCGGAAGCGAACAAACAAACACACACAAATAGCAGAAAATAAGAACACGAGATTTAACGTGGTTCAGTAACCTACTCCACAGGTTGCAACTAGGGTTTATCTTTTATTAGGTGCTCACAGATTATAGATACATGATTGGGTATTTATAAGATATAAACTAGGGTTAACAACTTGCTAAACAAGAAACAACCAATGGGCCCTTTAATTAATAACTGAAACTGGCCCTCCATGTTTCTTCCATTTAGCCGACCGGGCTTAAAGCCCAAAGCTCTAAAGCCTTCACCGAATAACCCAACATCCACCACTAGTCACTTTTATACCGACTCCCTAAATCACAGCTCACACCCAAAATGCAATTCGCATTTTGAGGCCACATGTGAGATGCCTCCTAGGAGGACTTCCACGCGCCTTTCTCTTGAACACACATGATCAAGTCACGAATCTTCTCCTTGCCCAAGCTCCCCCACCAGATACATGCATAACCTATGCATTATAATTCAATAATAGCTATGTTCCACTCTATAGCATCAAATATATGTTGTACCAAACAACGCATAAACGAATTGAGTATATAAATGCTAAAAGATAAAATGGAATAGCTCGTACGATGATATTTATAATAAAAATAAGAATGCTGATTTGGACACTTACCTCAAAATAAAAATCAATGTGTTAGCAATATAAGCGACCATTTCCCTACAACAAAGGCAGAAGACAAATGAAAATTAACTATATAAAATATGGTGTTATAAGGCTTTATTTGGTTCACAGAATTCAAGCCATGGAATTGGAATTGAAGACTTCAATTCTAATTCGGCTATTCAGTAGCACAAAAATATGTGGAATTTGAAATTAATTCTAATTCCAAATTTTCCAATTCCACATATTAAATTCCATGGCTCCTCAAAATCAAATCACGCAGATCCTTTCTAGCTTATAAACAAAGAAACAGGTCTTATAAATTAAAAACTAAAAATTTAAAATTAATAATTTAAAAAAAACTACAATTTAAAATTAAAAACTAAAAATTTAAAATTTAACATTTAAAATTTACAATTTAAAATGTAAAGTTTAAAATTTAAAAATCAAAATTTAAAATTTAAAATTTAAGAACCAAGAAATAAAAATTAAAAATCAAATATTAAAAATAAAAAATAAAATTAAAAAATAAAATTAAAAACTAATATTTAAAAATCAAAAATTAAAAATTTTAAAATTAAAAAATAAAACTAAAATCTAAAACCTAAAATTAAAAAATAAAACTTTAAAAATTATTAAACAGAAAATTAAAAATTAAAATTTTAAATAAAAAATTAAAATTTTCAAATTTAAAATTTAAAATTTTAAAATTTTAAAATTTTAAAATTTTAAAATTTAAAGTTTAAATTTAAATTTAAAATTGAAATTTTAAAATTTAAAATTTAAATATGAAATATAAATTTAAATATAAAATTTAAAATTTGAGATTTGAGATTTAACATTTAATATTTCAGATTTAAATTTAAATTATAAACAAAAAATTAAAAATTAAAAATGTATATATTTTTTAAATTTTTAAATATTGAAACAGCTCTTTGAAAACAATAAGTGCTTTAACTTGGTTTGAATTACTCTATTGTGAGAAATTCCCAAATACAATTTCAAATCAACTCTATATATAATTTTCTGTTACCAAACAAAGGATTGGAATTACAATACAATTTATATATCAATTCCTTAATTATACTAAACAAAGAACTTGGAATTGAATTAGAATTCAATTCCATAGAATTTGAATACCAATTCTATGGACCAAATGGAGCCTAAGTAAAATTAGCTTCTTTTATTCTTTAAGTCACAAATAAGAGGTGAAGGAGACTAGTGCGTCCCACGCCCCTTTAACTTCATTCAAAAGAAGAGAGGGCTCTGAGTGTACGATGTTTGATTAAAGTTATTTTCAATTTAATTTGTTCAAATTTTGGGGTAAATTTAAAGATGATATATTTAAAAACTACCGCTGATGTTCTATAGAACAAGAACTGACTCGATTATTGTACTATAAGAAATGATTAAAGCAAATGAGTTAAGAAAAAAGACAAAGTTTGACCCTCTAAATAGTACTCCGTAAAAGTGAAGTTTGAATAGCAAACATGAAGTTTATTTATGGACGGAACCTAAACAGAAAAGGCACATCCATGTATAATGTGAAAAAAGATACACTAAGATGACCCCTAATTCCTGTTAGATGATGTACATGTACAGGACTTGAGATATTTACCAGAAATAATGCAGACTTTTTTTACCATCACCCATGAAAGCAGTTTTAGCAGCGACAGAGTAAAACCTGCTTTTTTCTTATCATTAAACAAGAGTGCCTTTTGAAATGTTAGGGTTAGTATAAAATACAAATAACCATAACTTACATTCCTACCGTCATGACAGACAGCACACCAGAAGAATTGGCAAATTCTTGTGCCTGTTACAAATTGGCTGCAATTAGCTTTATAAAGACATTTATACAAATAGGTCCTACAACAAACAGCAAAAATGTGAAGACCTGCATGTATTATAAAGATCTAAGGTGATGTTTCAATGCAAGATTATGTCTATTATTCTAAAGATTGAAGAATCTATAAATTATATTCTGAGAGAATTCACTCTGATTTTTTTAACCAAATGCACTTCTCATTAAACACCAAACACCAGAACAATACATCAGCCAGCCACTCAGACTACAACTACACATACTCTGATTTTGCAATCAAGAAAGTGCAGCTTACTTTTTGAGAAAATAGCACACCATCTCAATGCTTCTAATTATGTTGTACTTGAATCATTGTGCTTCACATATGAATAAAAATTTCTCGCCATTATTTTGTATCATTGAAGCATATCTGTTCATATGGAATTACTAGAATTGCTAGCTTGTTCTGAGTGAATCGAAATGAAGTACAGACTACAGAGTATATGATATCCCTTAGTCCCAAATATATAAAATAATAATAATATTAATAGTAGCAAAACCTGTTCTGCACTTTTGATCCTAAAATGACTAAATGAGTCTCATTTGATCAATTGGGGCTAGTTTTTCATGTAATTTTCCAAAAAAAACAATGACAAGTTTAGCTAAACCAACCAACATATACGTGTATATACAAGCATGATTAGTCATTTTTGACGATTTTATCTTACAAAAATTATACAGGTGTACCTTGCACCTTGGTACACATATTTTGGAAAGACAAAATATAATTCATCAATGCAAAAATAAAATCATAATAATCATTCGTGCTTAGATTGTAGAAGGAAATTCATAGTTATTATCAGATATTTCCAATCCAAACGGTAGAAGAAAGAAGCTTCACAAAGTTACCAAGACTGTAAGGAAAACGTACAGTGAAATAAGCTACATAGCTCACAGCAACTGTTAGTGTGATTTCTATCACTGTGTCATTGAAAATAAATCCCAGCCATAAAACAGATGACAGTCCGAAGGCAAAACCAATGGCAACTCTGAACACAAGAATAGATACTATGAGACAAAAGTACATCTATATATACATTATTACAGCCAGAAATACATACGCTCCAATGGAGACTTGTAGCAAAAAGCTTATTACTGACGCCCAGGTAAAGCTCCATCCAAGAACCATGCGTAAGAATAGTTGATATACAATGATTGCCGTCCTAAAGAAGAGAAAGAAATGGCCTCTGAGGAAATAGTACAAAAAGAAACAAGTGCAATGGATGCTATGTAAAATAAAATGAGTATTATATAAGCTTTAATGGTGAACCACTGGCTGGAAACAAACAAAATTGGATATTGCCTGAATAGAGTTTCTTCTGCTAAACATGTAGTGCAATGAAAAGATTTAATTACCCATCATTCATCAAGGATTCTCCTTCAATTATGGTACTCAGTTTCTTACTTGCCCCAAGTTCTTTCAACAATGCCACAACAGCCACAGGGTCAGTAGCACTGAGTAGCCCCCCGAACAATAAAGATGTTTCCCAACTCCAATTATACGGGAAAGCAAGCTTCAATTTGTTATTGTCTTAAATTCTTATTCAAAAATTGATGTATACAATAAGAAATGAGACTCTACAAACCTTTATTGCACATCCAAGAAAGAAGGTTGAAATGAGCACTCCAGGCACAGCAAGTAGAACCATTTGAACAACACACCTCTGCATTAAAATTAGAAAGAACAAAATAAATGATGTCTCCACTCTTCAAATGTTGCATTTGGCCTCTAGACTAAAAAAGGTACTAGTGAGCAACCTTAGCTAGTTTAAGGTCTAAATAGGACTTTTCAAAGGTTCATGGTCACCAAGACTTTTACAGTTTTACGTTGAAACTTCAACATCATTTTTTGGGAACTCAGCCAATAAAATTACTACGAAGTGGACTGGTAGAATATAATATTGTGAACCACGAAATAGAAATTATATCTTTAACAACCCACATAGACATAATAAGATCACAAAGCAATTTAAGGTTATACATTTATTAGTGTACTTTTTATGTCATCCAAAGGTCAAACACTGTATACACACTTCTTTCTACAATGTTAATCTAATATTGACACCTATTCTTCATACAGTTTCAATGCAAGGAAGAATTATTCCATTGGATAAGAGGCATGTGATTAGAGACTTTGAGCTTAAGAAAATGAATATGACTATGAGCGAAAAAATGTTTTGGAAATGGAATGATAACTGTAAACACTTTAAAGGGAAATTATATGCTGGATGCACATTGGTGACAGTAAACTTAAATCCTCAAAATCTTGATCAACTAATTCATATAACTAAGTTATGTACTGTACATAAAAACCTCTATCATGTTAAATCATAGATATCGATATTCCCAAATCCCAAATTGTTACACAAATAATCAATCCAAGTTTTGTTTATTGATTTGATAAAGAGGCCCATTAGACAAGCAATGATTACAACGTGATTAACCTACACAGCAAACACCTATTGACATCCAATAGGTTTCAATGCTACAGGCTATGCTGACCAAACACATCCAAGATATTCATACCAAATACAATAATACACCCTTTTCCCTAGATTTTGGAATGTTTTACATTAATTTGTCTAATATAGAACCTTTTTATGGGACGGGTGGAGTATAGCCAAAAACCCAAGATCACCTGAATTGAACCAGAACCAAATTAAATGTATTCAAAGCTGAATTAGATCTAAATCGATCAAACCCAAAACTATCACCCCAAAAACTGATCATGACCGAAACCAATCAAAGTTGAAACTGACCAAACCCAAAACTGATCGAACTTGAAACTAGAAAATTTAAAAAAAAAAGGAAAGTTTGTGGTTGAAATTTATAAAGAAGATAGAGAGAATGGGAGATGATGGGAACCATTTAACTATTTTCCAAACAAAGAATAGGAAGTTTATTTTGGAACAAAGAGTACGGAGTAATAAATAATGAAGTATGAAATTCGACCAAAAATGAGATATGACAAAAATGATTTTGGGGGGAAAACTTCCTTCTCTTTTCTTCACCAATAAATTATTCTTTCTTTAAATCTAAAAATGAATAAGGTGAAAAGTCGATTAAAAATAAAATTAAGAAATTTTTCACAAACACAAAGACAAAGAAGCATGCTCGATTAAAATTTAATATTAATCCAACCCCAAATTATCTTAACTAATATTCATCTTATTCAAAATTAATCTAAACCAGTACCTCTCATAGCTATCCGAACCGAAACCTACCCAAACCAAAATATATCCAAATTGATGTATGTACTTGAACTGTATTTGAATCAAACGTAACAAAACCAAACTAAAAAAGTATATAGTATAGAATTAAACTCGGACCCAAACTGAACCAAACCAAATCACGTTGGTTATAACATATATCCAAAATATACCCAAATCAAACAAATCCAAACCAGAACCAAACCGGTTGACCCAATATTTAGGTCAAGTTAAAACATATGGTTCATTGGACAATGAGTTGAAAACCACTTCACATACAAGGCTAAACAAAATCAAAGGTGGAAGAAATGTTAAGATGAGGGAGGAAATGCCACTATACAGTTTGTGCATGTCACTACCACCTAAATTTAACATTATTTGGTATTTAAAATGCTTGTGATTCAATATAGAAGGAAAAGTCCTTGTATAAATATGAAATTGACAGGTTCAACTGTTTACAAGAAATGTTGGGGTCAAAGAAGTATGGAATACAAATCAAGATTAAAGACTACTTACGGTAAACCCAAGGGCTGATGGTTTGAGTCTCCCTACTGCTCTACTCTCTCACGAATTCAAAAGGAGAATAGATACTATCTTGACTCTTGAGGTTCAGGTGTGCATGTCTCAAACTTCTACGGGATGTTTCCACCAAATCTCCCCATGCAAAATGTGATCATAAGGTAAACGAACTGATTTCCAAGATGGGAACTTATGTTTTAAGACTCTTATGAAAATGCTAAGATGGCACCATAAACAAGGTTGTTAAGGCGCCAATGTACCTTCATATCGCCTAGGCGACTAGGCGCACGCCTAGGCAATGCCTAGGCGACCTATATATATATATTCACAATATATATATATACACACATATATATACACACACATATATGTACTTATGCATAATATAACCACTTAACCACAAAGAGATATAAGGCACAACATATGAAATAAAAGTCTACACATAATCTGAAAAAGAAAGAAGTGTTCACAAGCATTTAGAAGACCACAAATAACAACATAATTCAAAAAAATTCATCTCCATTCCGCTGGTTTAATGACCCAAACATGCAAGTCTAAAAATTTTCATAGAAGAGGTCATTCATATGGATATCATTATTTGTATCCATCATAGTTGTGAATGGTGAGTGGCAGGCGAGAGGTTCTTTTTTATGGCGAGAAGCGCGGCGAGCGGCGGGCGGTCAAATGGCGAACATTATTTAAATAAATAAATAAATATAATATATATAAATATATATAAATATATATTGTTTAAGTCTAAACTTTTAGTCTTAACTTTGTATCAAACATAATTATCAAAGTAAAACATGAGTTATTGGTAAAACAAAAAACAAAATATAGTACTTAAAAAGAAATTAAGAATATAATAATACACAGAGTGAAGACAATAAAGAAACAATAAGCATTCAAAAAAATATAAAGAAATAATAAGAAAACAAAAATAAAAAGTCTGACCTGCGAAGTGGAGTCTGGACTCTGGAAGCGCGCTGTTTGGACTCGGGAGAGAGAGGAGGGGCTGCGCCGGCTGAGGAGAAGTTGAGGAGGGCAGAAGGCTGAGTCGGCTGAGGAGAAATTCGATCGACTATTGACGAGACGGCGAGACGCAGAGGCAGAGGCAGTTGAATCAATCATATGAGGAGAAGTGATTCGATCGACTAATAATAGGTCAGCGCGGTTTTTAAAAAAGTCAAGCTTTTCAATTAAAAATCCTTGACCTGCGTCTGGCGTAGATGGCGAACGCCTATCGCCACAGAGAATGGCGTCCATGGCGAACGCCATAGGCGAGAATGGCGTAAAACGCCACGCCAGGCCTGAGAATGGCATCAAGTGGTCGCCACAAAGCCATAGGCGCCATTAATGGCGAGCGCCATTAATAACTATGGTATCCATAGACTCAAGGCGGGAGGCGGCCGTAAGGCGAGGTAAGGCAACGCCTAGGCGAGCACCTGAACACCTTAAGGTTTTCTCGGCGAGGCGAGCAGGCTAGGCGCCCAAGGGGCAGCGCCTTATTGCCTAAGTGATGCCTTACAAACTATGACCACAATTAAGATTTTTTTTAATATTACTGTTGAATGTGATGTTCGTGAATTCAAAACGAAAAGAAAGAATTCAAATATTAGGTTTCCACTTTCTAGTACCTTTATTTGATGCACTTCCATCGAGAATGAACTCTCAAAGAGAAGTGCAGGAAGAAATACAGCCAACAAAAGGTAAGGATCAATATTTGCCCCTGCAGACCAACAATTATTAAACCTTATGGTAAACGAAGAGATAGAGTGAAACCAAAATGGTTGAACATTTTATTGGTAATAAATGACATAGACGCATCAAATTAACTGCAACATGGGCAGAAAACAGATTGCACCATAAGAAAATTGACTCCAATTAGAGCAGAGAATAAGTTGCACTTACAAATACGAATCCCATTCCCAATCATTCCCAACTGATTATGCTTTCCATAATCTGTACCATGGTAATTATCAATGAATTCAACATTTGACAGATAATAGTTAAGAGCAACCCAACAAAATCTTTGCTATATATACTTACAGCATTACAGCCAAAAGTATGCCAACGTACCAAAACAATAGCACAAATTTACCATGGGAAAACTCATTTCCACTTGAGGTTAGTCATACAGTCTAAAAATTGAATTCAGGAAAAAGATAGAAGTAAAACCAAATAATATTCCCAATATCCCCTGATCTGCTATTCATTTTCCCCTCCATCTATTAGCACAAAAACTGATAAGTACTCGCAAAATTTCAGTTATGAAATCTGAAGCCCAGAATTGAGTAAGAACGAAACTTTGCTTCCACCGTGACCAACATGTAAGCTATTTCAGAATTTAAGCAAAATAGTAGTATACTTGAGCTGCAAAATTGCATGGACACCCGCAAAGTTAATTTGATATATGTTTCACAATTATTGCACAAAGCATCAAAGATAAAGGTCACAAAGAAGAGATCCATGACTCCATGAGAGAACCCCTTACACTGATTTGGGCATGTCAACCTCAAGAAGCAAGTGCACAACAGCAAAGCACAAATATGGAGAAAAGATGTTGGAAAAATTAACGAAACACATTGGGCACACAATAAGGAGAAAAAGTAAACCGCAGAAAAATGAATCAACACAAAAGTTTAAATGGAAACCTTCACAACTAGGGGAAAAAACAATGACCCTCTCACACTAATCAATCTAATGTACTATCATTGGAATATAGCCAAAACAACAATAATATAACTATTGATAATCTTCACAAATCACAACACTATTTTTCTTTTCATGATAATTTCTTCTTTCACTTTAAAGATATATCTCGCTTATCTCTCTGTGAGAACTTCTTCATCATTGAAATGCTCACATTCCTTCACTAGGCCGGTCATGAGAATTCCACGGCCTAGGCCGAGACAGAAAAAAAAAAGCCCTAAAGGCCTTATCCCTAATGTCCTAACAAATTAAAGTGTGCAAACTAGTTTTATTTAAATGACAATTAACGTAATAGTATTATAACAAGATGAGTAAATGACAAAATCATAGTATAGGGTTTATATGTACTTACCAGACATCGACCCAAATGAGCTAGTTGGTCAAGGGTTAACCGGTTGAACTGGTCGACCCGGGGGGCAACGATCCGCTCAAGTATAAGTAAAATAATAATATTTTATATTAAAAATATTATATTATTAGATATTTTTAATTAATAAGGAATTTTAATTTGAGCTTTTTCAGTCTTCCATCTAGTTTTCAATGTCATTTTGCATATCCCAGCACACTTTCTATTTTCTATTAGTATTATTTTTTATTACTATTAGAGTATATAACAATCATTCCTGGGCCACAACCACAAGCTTGAGCTTTTGGTTGAATTGGTTCCTTGACATGGTATCAGAACCTTGATGACCAAGAGGTCACAAGTTCGAAACTCACTGTCACCCAGTTTAAAAAAAATTAAGGTTTCACGTGCAAGGCTCAAAGAGGTCCCGCCTGCACGTGAGGGGCGTGTTAGAGTATATAACAATCATTCCTGGGCCACAACCACAAGCTTGAGCTTTTGGTTGAATTGGTTCCTTGACAATTACTATTAAAGATAAATAATGAATATCTAATAAATACAAAAATAGTAAGGATATATTCATATTTGAAAAAAAAAATAAAGGTTAGGTAATGTGTTCTAATATATATAGTACTCTGTAACTCGTATGTAACACTTCTGACTTAGTTTAGTTGATTGAAACGAGAAAAGGTAGAAGAAAATTTTAATTTTAGTATATTAGAGTGTAAAAAATTTTTTTGCTATTTCTTTTGAAAAAAAATAATTTTTAAGTATAAGTAAATATTAATTTTTAGATAAAACATAAACAACTTTTATTTATTTATTTTTTAAACTATTTTTATTAGTTTATAAAACAAGTATACTAGATACTACTTGTGTTACTTTTTCAAAATAATTGAATATTTTATTGAAATCAACACAATCCATATATATTTTATTGTGTGACTTATGTAACAATATGTTTAGTAACTTAAGTGGATGGAGTATCTCCTACCACACCGAAGACTCAAGTTCGAAACTCACTATACATCATAAACTATTACGCTTTATAATTTTTATAAATGTATATATAATATTTAAAAAAATGGGCCCCTAAAATATTGGACCCGGCCCGGTAGGGCTGCTTGGCCCACCCCCCGACCCTGCACCTACATATTTTCTCTTGGCACTCCTCTGCAACGACTGCAAGAGAAACAACCGTCCCCATGCATTGGTCAACAAAGGTTGGCCAACTCTTTCCATCTTGTTTTTCTACCACCAACTAAAAGCATTCACCACAAACAAAAGCATCCCATATTGGTCAAAGATGATTGCTACTTTTGTCCATTAATTTCACTTCGGGATATACCCAACAATTGAGTGTTTGGATATTGGGAACTTATGGAACAGAGAAACTAAGTTATGCCAACAATCACATGGACCGAAGGTATAAGAGGAAACATTAGAGTATTGCAAATTTATGAGTGTGGCAGATGACATAAATTTTATAGAGGTTCATGTAGCTGACCCAAATTTTGAGTATGAAGTCTTTCTTTGTAAACCACAAAAATAGTGATCTAACTCATATGGTGGCTTTCCTCTTGTTGAGAATCATTATTTAGGCAGCTCCTTTTATCAATTCAAATATTACTTTCCATACATAAAGCAATTATTGTAGTTCACTAAAACCAGAAAACTACAGAGCAGAAGTCATTAATACAGGCAATGGGAAAGAGCAACCAACCCAAGGCTCCGAGGCCAATGCCAATGAAGAGCAAAGAGACGGTGTAGGGAACTCTGGTACCCCTCAACAGATGCCTGCAAGCGATCCCTAAGACCAAGCTGATACCAACGAAGATAACCGCGTCCGTAGGGTTAGATTCTGGGCCCGAGCTTGCCTCTTCAAGCTCTCTGAATGGCATCATCACCAATGGAAAGCAAGCTGGATTCATCCCACTCTTATACAGCAGCCTGAACTCTGAATTGACTGGACGAACGGGTAGAAAAGAAGATTAATGCTTGAGGATTTGTGCTAGTAGCTCACTCTAATTTTCTAAGAAACCCTGATGTTAGCATATTCGCGTATTCCGCATCCATATTTCTCCCAAACATACGGTTTTCAATTTTTCATACGCATATCATTCGCGTAAAAAAAAACCCCAATTCTTTTCACTCCCAGACCGCTCATCTTATTCTATTCTTCAGAATTTATACGCGTCATTACCAGAATCTTTTCTCCTGAAGGATTCTCCGGTGGCTGAGAAGGAATCCTATTCTCCGTCCCGTCTTCCGCCTTAGATCGCAGCGTCGCGGGACCGACTCCGTCTGCGCAACCGCAGGTGTGACTGGGGCGTAGCAATCGCTGGTGTGACTCATGCTTCTGCATTATTGCAGAAAATTCGACGACTCGGCCTTCGCAGTCGCAAGTGTCCCTTCAGGTTTTGTCGAAGTCCCTAAAAGACAACAAAAATCATATTCCATAATCCGTCCACTATTCCCCACTTCATAAATACCCCACTTCATAAATACTCCATACATCTTTATCAATGCTAGAGGTGGAATCTATTCCAAAGTATGGGTGGACATGCTACCGTTCCGGGACGGTTCCGGTTCTGAAATCGCCGGCTCCGATACCGCCACCCCTTGGTACCGGTCCCGGTACTTAGACCGGCAGTTCCGGTACCGGACCGATCGGTTTTGGCCACCTCCAATTATTATTATTATTATTATTATTATTATTGCTTTTTTTTAAATTTTTAAAGAGTAAAATTGTAAATGTGTAATTTTAAAGAAAATAATGAAATAAAAATCTAAAAATGTAGTTGTTATTTAAATATTGTAAAATGAGTAATACACGAATTGAAGAACAGCTACATTTAATATCCTGACGGTTCAAAAAAAATGACGATGTAAAGAACCGTAAAGAAACCCTCGAAAGAGCTTATATATCGCTCACCTAAAAAAACTAATTACATATTTGCATTAACATAAAAAAAGTTTATAACTTATTCCTCAAAACTCGGGCTTCCATATGTGGTTGCATTCATGTAATGATCGGAATTGAAATCGTATCCTGACTCTTGAACTCGAAGTCTTGCCAAGAGCCAATCTCAGTTGCAAACAAGTGTTTCAAGAGATTCAGCGCTAAGACAACTTCGGTAGTCGGTTCGAATGTTGCCGCAAGCACTGAATTATTGTTCCACTGCTACGGTTGATACCGGGATGGATAAAACTTGTCTTGCTAGCATTTCGAGACATGGGAATATGTGTTCGTTCCGGTTCCACCATCCGAGGACATCAAACTCCACGTCGTCGTCGTCGTAATCGCATGGCACCCCTTAGTACATAGCGAGTTCATTGTGCGAGCTTACAGTTGTACCACATAAACTCGTCGAAGCCTGAGCACGCTTCCCTTTTTTGCAAGAAGCCCACCGACTATTCCTTTAAAACCTTTTTTTGATTTGGGGGGGCGGAGGAGGTGCTGTTTCTTCCGGTACATTACCGTATATCCCTTGAAATTCCTTAAATAAAGCCTCAAAAAGAATAATAGCATTATCTCTTTCTTCTTCGCATTCTATTAAATGGTTGTAGTAATAATTATTTTCATCTAAAAAACAACTGTAGTAATAGTCAATTAAAATTTTATAATTTTCAATCTTAAAGCGTGGATCACAAATAATACCTACTCCCTCCGTCCCACTGTGTTTGTCCACTTACCTTTTGGCACACCATCCAATGCACTTCTTTAATCCATTTTATCTTGTAATTTGTATATTAAAAAATTATACAAATTATATATTAATAATCTATATGTTAAGACGAATCAAACAAGATCACACATGACTATTTTTAGGCTTACACATTAAGAGAATTTGATAAGTCAAAGTGCTTAGATGAACAGTTCCAAAAGTCAAATGTGGACAAACACAATGGGACGGGGGTAGTATTTTAGAAATATCAGGAATGTATAAATAATAAGCACACCATTTATCTTTCATATGAGAGACATAAGGGTACAAATTTGGATCAGCCAAACTTTCACGAAAATATGTTGCAATTGTAACGCACTCTTTAAAAAATCTATTTGTAGTTAGTTAGTAAACATGTGAAAAAGTAAAAGTTGCGTCATAAAAAAACTTCTAATACTGCATTCAATTTTTCAACAATAACAAATTCATTAGGTGAAATCATTAAAAGAAGTTCATCCCTAAAAAATTCAGCAAGTTCCTCTATGTAGCTTAGAATCTGTGCTATCAACTTGTATGTACTATTCCATCTAATGGTGATATCTTTGGCAAATGTAATTGCTCTTCTACCCTTAGACTTACAGAATGTCTTCCAGGCATTCGAATGAAGATGACTACCCTAAATTCTTTTAATTCCATTTTTAATATTCGTCAGAACCTCTCGCATAGCTTCTGATCCCTGTTGAACACATAAATTTAAAATATGTCAAGCACACCTTTGATGCAGAAATCTACCCATACTCGTAGCAGAGGGAAAATTTCTTTAAGTCTAGAAATAGCAGCAGTATTATTAGTAGCATTATCAAAATCAAATGCAAACACTTTATCAACTAAATTGTATTCTCACAGAATACGCTGAAGCAATAGAAAAATATTTTCAACAGTATGAAAATCACTAAAATCACGAAATGCAAGAACACGTTTATGCATTATCCAATCATTATCTATCCAATGACAAGTAACACCCATATAAGACAAATTATGATATGTTTCACCCCCAAATATCAGAACAAATAGTAACACGAGAATTAAAATTGAGAAAAAAATTTGCCAAATTTGTTTTCAAGTTTATACTGTCGAATAATTTCTCGTTTAATTGTTTTTCTTGAAAAACCTCTTGCTTGAGGGTTTAAGGCATTTTGACAATAATCAATAAATCCAACTTTTTCAGAAAACATGTATGACAAAATTTCTTCACAAATCATTTTGGCCATTTTTTGCTTATTTTGCTCGTCGCTATAAGCAAAAAGCTAAGGCCGCCCTTACCCCTGTTAGCAAACCGAGAAATTTGGGTTTGCACTTCTTGTTGTCCCTTCTTTTTCGCCGCGTATTTGGCGTACTCCACGGGGTGCCTCGCCCTTAGGTGTTTTTCTGGACCACCATAGCCGCCGGAAATTCTCATTTTAATGACGACGCCACAATATTTACAAGTTCCAAAAACTACGTCATCTTTTGTTTCTTTTGAAAAATGATAAACAAATAGATCCGTTTTAATTTTTTTTAACCTTTCCCCGGACCTTGAGAGGTCTCGGGCTCACCTGCCTCCTCGTCGACGTCGGTAGGATTGTTGCTGTGCGGTGAATGCTCCACGTCCATTCTTGCTTCATCAATGTCCTCGAATATACTTTCAAGAGTTTGAAGATTGGTGTCGGCTCTACCTGACATATAATGGAGGAATTCTTGATCCGTCAAAGCGTCGCCCACGAATTGATCAAGGATACTAGGGAAGGAAGAGACGGAGTGTCTTTCTTGAGAACCGCGTGAGATCGAACTGTCGGAGGTGGCTTTAGCTTTGCCTCTCCTTGAACTTCGGTTCACAATGCTTATATCCACGGACCTTCTTCCGGACTTTCTCGACATTTTAATATATTTTTTTGATAAAAAAGGACTATATTAAATATTTAAAATACTGACTATATATTAAATTTCGAAATTATAAAATTAGTTTATAAAAAATTAATAATATAATATATTAGTAAATAATAATATATAAATATATAATAATATGATTGTATGAATAATAAATGTATTTATATATTATTATATAATATATTAAATTATTAATATATACTCCGTATTTATATTATTATATGAATATAAATTGTATAAATATTGAAAAGAGAGATAAGAGATTGAGAGATTGAGCATTGAGATGAGGGTAAAATTTAAAAAAAAGGTTATTTATACTAATTTGCTACCCCCGACCCTCCCCCCTCAAACGGCTCTATGGCCGTTGAGGATCCCTCCCCCTCTTTTTGTGTTTTTTTGCTTGCAGGAGTTGACTGGTAGAGTTGTAGGTGACCGTTGGACTATTGGAGAGCAAGGGAAAACCAAAAAATAATAATAATTACGGTACCGGAACCGGTACTGGTACGCCGGTGCCGGTACTGAAATATTGGTACCGGAACCAGTACCGAGGGGGGCGGTGCCGGTACCGGTTCCCGAAAGCGTAGTGACGAACCGGCCGGCGGTGACGGTAGCCGGTATCGGCGGTACCCCAGTAACGGTACCGTACAGGTACCATGTCCAGGCCTATTCCAAAGTATACGCCAAAATTATAAATTAATATTCGGATAGTTCACGTTGACATAATTTTTAGTGAAACTGAAAAATTTTGCATTAAAATTTTGTGCTTGTGTGAACCATCACCCTATAATCACACTAGCACAAAACAAGAGTGTGTAGCTAGGATTTATAATTTGGAGTACAACTTTTAAGCTACAAATAACTTAGGGGGGGTGTATTCAATTAGAAGTCTGTAAGATTTTTTTGGACTTTAAAAAATCGGTGGATTTAGAAAATCCATTTACTCCAAGTAGAGTTTGGAAGACTCTTTTATTGATTTACATGGAATTTTATATACTTGAGGAGATTTGTTTATTGATTTAGATGGATTTCATGTTTGTTCAACTTTATTGTTCATCCATATTGAATCAAGTACAAATAAAATAAGCACTACAGAATTCAAGTACTGCAAATTTTTTTTAAACAAGGACGGCAAAATCAAATAATCTAATAAGCACTGCAATTCTGCAAATAAGTACTTCAAATAAGCACTGCAATTTTTCAAGGAACACACAAATACATAATGAATGAAAACCTCTCAAATACCACTAAGAAACACTACAGACTTGCGGAACTTCCTGGTCACCAACATCCTCCAGCCATGGGACATCACCTGGTATTCGGATGGTATACAGTACCTGGTAGAGCTCGTCCCGGAACGGTATGTTGCCGACTTTGGATCTGTTGTACGGCGACGACGGGCACTTCGAGGTGTAGATGCTGAGGAATCCCCGCTCCACTCGGGCATCTCCGTGCCCGATCGGCTGCAATTTGTTCTACGTGTTCTCGTACCACTCCGTCGGCGTCACTGTCCCCTGCCACGCCACCGCGATGTCCCTCCGCCCAATCCGCCGCGTCTCCTCGTCGTCGCTCACGGCCACGAATCCGATCCAATTCGAGTCCTTGCTCCATCTGTTGACCCGTCGCTGGGGATTTCTCTGGGCTTGCTTGTTTAATTTTGGGACTCTAGGTCTGCAGGGGAGATAGAGGGTGGGGATGACCGGAGAAGATGAAGAACCGTGCAGGAAGAAGAGAGAAAGATCCGGTAGATTTGGAGTCCAACAAAATCCCTAGGCTTTTGGTTGGATTTGAAAACAAAATTTTTATTTATACTTCAGGTCTAAAATCCTTCACAATCCATGTTATATAACACTCCTTCAAAATCTATCATTTTTTCAATATCATTAGATTTAGAAAGATTTTATAAAATCTCCGTTGAATACCTACAGATTTTAAATGATTTTTTAAAATCTCAATTGAATACAACAGACTTTTAAAATCCAAAAAAATCCTACAGAATCTCAATTGAATACACTCTCCTTAATTTTATTTTTATTTATAGCCCTCACGACTCAATCTTAAATCTGTGGTTAGTTCGTACATATTGTGTCTCAACTATGCTACTATACTTCAATAATTATAATTTTATTTTTTATTTAATATTTACATATTTCTATTCAAATTAAATTTTATCTTTTTAAATAAAAATAAAATTTTAATCTCTATTCCGTTTTTCTATTTCATATTTTTTTGATATTTTATTTTATATTTTTTCAATATTTCTACTTTTTAATTATGTAGCATTTGTTCGCTTGGTTATTTCATGATTGATGGTGTAAATATAGATGAGTGGGTTGACCGAATCTAACCTGGACACACTCGACCCGTAATATATAAACACACAACAAGAACACAAAGTATGACCTAGACCGGGTAAATCTTCTCAGTCCGAAATATATTTCTTACTCTGTCTCAAGAGTGTACTAGTTTTTAGTGAGATAAAGAATGTATCCACTCCTCTATCCAATATCATCATATTTATAGAGGAGGATTTGTGACCTTCCCCTGTTCATCCATGGACAAAATAGGAAGCCCGTGGGAAGGTCATTGTAGTAAATGGGAACACTGTACAATCATTGATTTTAATAGCTACAAGCCAAGACATTGTTCAATCAAAGACTATAAATGGATATTCTCAATCCAATCAGCCCTGCAAGGTGACAAACATCCCTTTCACTGTTTGCCTCGTGATGGACGAACGGCGGGGTGGTCCCTCGATCTTTGACATGATTCACCATGACTGAGATATTGGACCAATCTTTCCAAAGTAAAGTGACATGACCGGACATCTTCTCTCAAAGGTTACCCGGTCATTTCTAATGCTCAACCCGTCTCTCTGGTCTCCTAGAATGTCCTTCGTAACATTAGGCGACATTTTGGCTATCGCCCAAAATGTGACCAGTCACTTTTTTAGTGGAAGTGACCGGTCAACTTTTGACCCGTCCCAATCGAAGAGTTAATCTCATTTGGTGATTGATAAAAGTGACCGGTCATGTTTTGACCTGTTCCTTTTGGTTGTCCGGGTCGGGTATAGGGATATACGCATCAATGATACTCCGTTTTATTTTTTCGTATAAATCATTTTTCTCGTTCACTATTCACAGGTTCAAACTTTTATTCACTTTGTTGACGTATTTTCATCACCTATTTGATAAAATAATATAATCATGTCACCTCTAGTTTTGTAGATATTTTGATATAGTTTTTTAATATGTAATTTTTTTTTGAAATTTTATACCATTTTTCATATAAATTAATTTTAAAATAATTTCAGCCAAACATCGCGCAACGAGAAGTTTATTTGTGGGCAGGAGGAGTAGGGGTGGACACGGTACCGGTTCGCTACCGTGACCGGCGACGGTACCGCCGGTACCCGCCACCGTCACGCCGTCTCGTTCGTCTCACCGGTTCCGGGAACCGGTACCGGTACCGCCCACTTCGGTACCGGTTCCGGTACCCAATTTTCGGTACCGGTCTGGTTCCGGTACCGGTATAATTTTTTTTTCCTTTTTGCTTCCTATCCGTTGCATTGCTGCGAAAAAACAGAGGGGGGCCTGCCTCAACGGCTAAATAGCCGTGTTAGGCATTGGGGGGGAGGGGGGAGGGGGGATAAACTTATAAATACTTCCATTTTTTCAAAAAAAAAAAAATCACTCAATCCATCTCTCATTCTCTCATTCTCTCAATCTATCAATCTCTCAATTCTCAAATCTCAATCTTGTATTCTTATTATTATCTTTTATATATTTTTTTAAATATTTTATATATTAATATATAAAATTTCGAAATTAATTTAAATTTTTGAAATTTAATATTTTATTTTATTTAATATCAAAAAATATATAAGTTATATTTTAAATATATTCTTTACTTTTTGAAATTTTCGAAATTTTAATATATAAAATTTCGAAATTTTTTTAAATTTTCTAAATTTAATATATTTTTTTAATATCAAAAAATATATATTAAAATGTCGAGAGAGTCCGGTAGAAGGTCCGTGGATATGGGCGACGTGAACCGAAGTTTGAGGAAAGGCAAAGCTAAAGCGACCTCCGACGGTTCGACCTCACGCGGGCGCGGTTCTCGAGGAAGACACTCCGTCTCTTCCTTTCCTACTATTCCCGATCACTTAATCGGGGACGCTATGACGGATGAAGAATTCGGCCAGATTTATTCTGGTAGAGGGGACGCAAATCTCCCCACTCTTGATAGTGTATTCGAAGATCTTGATGAAGCAGGACTGGATAATCTGGACGGAGATGAGGAGCCTACACCGTAGAGCAACGACGTCGACGTGGAGGCTGGTGAGCCCGAGACCTCTCGAGGTCCGGACAAAGGTAAAAAAAATATAAATCAGATTTATTTGTTTATCATTTTGACAAAGAAACAAAAGATGACATAGTTTATGGAACTTGTAAACATTGTGGGACCGTCATAAAAGCTCCTTCGAGGGTTTCTTTACGGTTCTTTACCTCGTCACTTTTTTTGAACCGTCAGGATATTAAATGTGGTTGTTCTTTAGTTAGTGTATTATTCATTTAAAATATTTAAATAACAACTACATTTTTAGATTTTTTATTTCATTCTTTCCTTAAACAATTGCAAATTTACAATTTTATACTTTAAAAATTTTAAAAAAAGCAAAAAAAAATAGGGGGGGTCGAAACCGGCCGATCCGGTTCCGGAACCGCCGGTCCGGGAACCGGAACCGGTACCGGCCGGCACGGTGACGGTACCGGTGACATGGGGTGGCGGTTCCGGAACCGGAACCGTTCCGGAACCGTACCGTGTCCACACCTAAGGAGGAGTAACAAATTTTAAAGACTAACCGGAGAGCTTTTTATGGAAAATGGAGGGTACAAATGGTACAATATGTGATGTGAGAGCTATTACCCTGTAAATAGATTTCTCAATTATTTTTCTGCTTTCAGTAGGTTTTCTTCGTCTATTCTTCTTCTTCTTCTTCCACCCAGCAGCCACAAGCCGACAACTAAGGTTTGTATCTTCCTTGTTTTTCTTTTTCTGTATTTTTTTTTCCCATCAATCTCTTGCAAACTTTTGTTCCAAGTTCCACGTTTTCTGCAAAAAAAAAACTGTGTTTGGAGTAGAAATATGATGGATTCACAAAAAAAATGAAAACTCATGATTGGTTGATTTGGTGCCTCTGTAGAGGAAAACCCAAATTCTGTGTAGGAAAACGAAAATTGAATGCTCGCTCATAAAATTATACAAAATTTGGGCATTCAATTCAAATTGAAAACTCATAAAAGTTTTGAATAACCCCTCTAGCCAAAATTTTGAAGACCCAAGGTTGGGAAAAAAATTGCATATTAGGTTGAATACTTGTGTAGAAAAATTTGAAAATTGAGCCCAAATTGTTAAAGTTTATAGAAAAAATTGAAAATTGAAGCCCTAATGCATTTGGCTTAATCCTATCATACTGTAGATTTGAAAAAGAAAAAAAAGTCCACACAAGTTGACGCAGTTTTGTCTTAAATGTTTAAATGTTTTTTTTGGTGCAATATGGTTGCTTAAAAGTTGTCTTTCTTAATCACATCAAGAGCTAAATTAGTCCGCACGAATGTTTATTTAACACCAACCTCTCAATGTTATGGAAATTCCGGATTCGCAGTGAACCATTTTTATACAAATTTCTTCTCATTCTTTTTCGAATATGGAAATTTGCAATGAACTTATAATCTTTACCTTGTTCACAAAGTTCTTCACATTCACGAAAAATGTTATTATTGATATCAATGTTTAAAAGTGAAAGAAAAAAATCATAATGAGTGGGAGTCACATTTACCTTATTATGATTTGGACAAAAAAAAGTGTGACATAGAAAGAATAAAAAGAGACAAAAGGTTGAAATATATGGAGTAAAAATTATTCCTCCCGTTTCATAAAATGGTTCCTATTCTGACTTTTAGAAAAAATAAGGTGTATATTTGGGTTGACTTTCCAATTTTTTTGTGAGGTGTAAAAGTAAGATGTGAAAGATAGATTATTAGTGGAAAAAAATGATATGATAGTTAGGATAAGAAAAAATAAGGGTAAAAATGGTTTATAATAGAAAGTGGAAGTGTTTTGGGGAAAACGCAAAATTAAAGAGGAAGTATTTTTTGAAACGGAGGGAGTACTTAATAAGAAAATGATTTTTCAAAAATATAATAGATCGTTATTCAATAATATAATGCAAAAAACATGTACGGAGTATTAAATTGCATACAACTTAGTTTCTTTTTGGGGGGAAAGCGTTTTTTTTATTATTCATTCAAAAAATTTCATGAAACAACATTTAAAACGTCATGAAATTGGTGTTACAATTTTATGCGTTTTGGAAATAATTTGAATGAAGTATTTTTACTACGTATTCTTTTCTCTAAAACGAAACTAAATATTTTTTGACAACTCACTACAATTCTTTTGTTCTGCACAGGGCCATAATAATCTGCCTAGGACCGGCCTTAGCCCTTAGCTTGAAGGTAAGTGACTTACATAAAGCATGTTGTTGGTTACAACTTTAATTTATTCAAAGAGAACATATTTTAGATTTTTTAGTTTCTCTATCAATATTCTGTCCTGTCCCAAATTAAAGATTATCGTTTAACGTTGCTGACCTTAAGAAAAAGTGTTGAAAAATAAAATGTGTTTATAATTGAAATTTGATTAAAAGAGGAAGAAACACTACAAATTACATATTCCATTCTTTAAAAAAAATGTAAAGTTTACTGTTGTATAGAGAAAAATAATTTAAATTTATTTAGGGAGAGGATCAGTATTACATTAAAATTGAATGACTAACTAGTTACCGCACCTGGAGATTGTTGCATTAGGTACACACAAGAACTATATATATTGCAATGGATATATATCCATGAAAAAAGTCGTAGACTTTTACTCGTTGACACTAATTCGTGACAAACACCGTAACAAATGTTATGTTGTCACGGCTACATTCGCGACAAAAATCGTTGACTAAATGCGAGTTTTTTTATGTAGTGTAATATTAATCCATCACATCCCATCATCCCAAATTTAATTTTACATTTAAACTTCACGGAGTTTTAGAAATTTGTTTCAAAAGTAAAAAAATGTGTGATTGAAATATATTTAGAATAGAAAAATGCAGTAAACCACATATTTCATTCTTGAAAAAGAAAAGTACTAAGTTTATTTTGAGAGTGAGGAGAAGTACATTAGAATTGAATAAATAGCCAGTTTACTACACCACACATTGTAGTTAATGAAGATTTTTGCATTGCATACACACAAGAACTATATTACTTATGGCAGTGGATATGAAACGTTACGTTGATTATTTGGATCATACTTGTAATGTATATATGAGTAAAATAACGAGTCATTATTGCTAATGATGTTTGTTATGATGATCAGATGTGGTGGAGAAATGAGGTTGGTTTTCCATTGATTTAACGCGGGAACTCTCTCCTATGATTTTATTAGTCTTCATTAATTCTTCCTGGGTATCAATGGCGAGGAGAGCGGAGTTTTCTCCTTGTGGGCTTGGAGGTACAATAATGTCTTCTTCTTGTGCTGTTATTCGTTCGTAGATGCTATCTTCATCGACTTCTTCAATGGTTTTCTTCTTTTGCTTCTTGAAAAAGTAGAACAGTGCAGCACAGAGAAATGCTAGAAATAACAGGCCACCGAATGAGACGAAGATGATGATAACGACGTTATGGTCTCCCGGAGTAGGGGGCGGTGATGGCGGGGGTGGAGAAAAGGGGTGGATTGGTGGTGGTGGTGGAGCTTTGTGAGGTGGTGGCGGTGGG